AATGGAATGGTAACGCCTGCGCTATCGGTATACACTGGTGGAGCACCGGTGAGAGATGATAGGTGACAATGAAAGCAGGTCCGTTAGCCCATCATGACGAATTCCACTTGAACTAACCACGATGGTTTTCAGGGGGAATCGCGTGGAGGTTGACCTGACAGGGTATATTGATAGCAATGGGAACTAACCTATTCATTACTAACAATCCTTTTCCCCCAAATTGAAATGTTAGGTCGTTTTGTATCTATGCCGTCCGACCTCCATCCGTCCGTTGTGGTTTACTGCCATATTACTGAGACCAATTACTTATTAATTTTATCATGACTAAAATCGCTGGTTTTTTGCGGAGCAAAATCTTAAATTATGTTTACTTTAAACACTGTAATTACGATATCGTGATAAAACTGACATAAACATACAATTACTGTATCATAACGATCGATAGGGCGCGGTAACGTCTGAAGAGAAAGTATAAAAAATAATATGTAAGTAAAAATTTAAAGTCTGTTGCAAGATACAGTATACCTTCATTAACAACCGTTAACAGGGGGGAAAGGGATTGTTAGTAATGGCGCGGTTCTCCCTGGAAACTGTCATGGTTAATTCCTGATGAATTCATCATAATGGGCTAACTGGCCTGTTTTCATTCTTATTTATCACCCTTCACTGGTGCACCGCCAGCGTATCCCTTTAGCGCAGGCGGGGTTACCATAACATTTTCACCCATCAAAAAAAAATTGGTGTTAATGGAATGGTAATTCCCCCTGCCTTATACCATAATTTCATAGATCCTATATGTTACACTAACGATATCCCTTGATTTAAGATATCTATAGTCCCCTGGTTCTGGATAAGCCGTTCCCAGTAGACTCATACGCATACTTACCAACGAATCACAGTTGCACATCAAGTGTTCCATGGATTCCGATTTCTCCCCGCACAGTCTGCACAGTGTGTCCGAAGATAGACCCATCTTGTGTAGTATATGCCTTATTGGCATATATGTCCAGTTAGGGCACCCATAATGAGTCTTAGTCCAATAGTGGACAACAATATTAAGCGTAAGGCTGTTTACACTCACAGCGCGGAGTTTTTTTTACCTCTAGTATATATATATATATATATATATATATATATATATATATATATATATATATATATATATATATAGACACTTGTAAATGTTTTCATAACTGTTTTACGCCCGATTCCAATCTGGCGCCACGCAACGTACATAGTTCACACGAAATCCTAACCATCTTGTATTTTATACTCACATAATACTGATATTACACGTTTAAACGCCCGCCAGTAGCCACGTAATAGTTTTATAAAGCGTCAAGGCGGACAGGTCGCACTTGTTTTGTAGCATGGGACAAGGGACATGAGTGGGACGCGAGATGTGTATTCTTACATACAGCAAAGTACATATAACAAAGTGCCAAAGTGCGCTTGCCATCCCACATGTCAAGCGTGGCAACTACTGTCAAAATCCTCTTTATGGGGAAGGCCTATATTCAGCAATGGACAGTTAACGGCTGATATTGTGATATGAAACTTTATTTTACCTTTAAATGAATTCTAAATTATTTTGTCCAAATTGAAATCTGTTTTGTTTTCATGTTACAAAATCTTGGTTATGATACTAGCTTTTGCCCGAGACTTCATCCACCTGACTTTTGACCTCCTCTACATCATATAATAATACATGGTTACCAAATTTTATGACCATCAGTTGGGCCGTTGAAACGCTAAGAGAAAAAAGACAAATATGCTTTAAAATTACAATATTTAATTAATAACGCAACGTTCCTCTTAAAACATTACCAAAGCCTAACTGCAATTACCAACCCGCCTGCCAAGCGTAGCAACTACTGGCAAAACTCCCCAATGGAAAATACCAGGAGGAAATGCCCCCCCCCCAGTAATCGATAGTACCAGCTCAGGACCGTTTCTTATGGCAGTCTATGGGGGTGGCCTATGTCGAGCAGTGGATAATTAACATCTGCTATGATGATGATATTCTTTTTTTGTGGGACAAAATCTGAATTGTGATTTGTGAACAAATTTTGAATATGAACCCTCATGGACGTTCTAGCTTGATGCATTTTTGCGATACTGGCTAGCGCTCGGCCACAGCTACCGTCTGTACACCTCTCGTTAATAGACGTGCGCGTGTGATTTAATGTCACACCGGTACCGTAGAATCGCGTGAAAGCACATTCCTCTATCTACACTAGCACCCGCCTCTTGATTCGTTCGCTGTTCATTAGTTTATTCACATGTTTCCTAACCGATTAGTTATTTTTATTAAATTACTTTTTTTGTACACACCAATCGCCTGGTCTTCCCTGTGTTATAAAGAAGCCAACATACGTTGAATTCCAAGTGTATTCATCACGAGGGCTAACTGACCTGTTTTTTCATCCTCACCTATCATCCTTCACTGATGCCCCGCTAATGTATACCGTTAGCGCAGGCGAGTAACCCCGCCTCCATCCCATCATTCCATCACCCATTAAAAAAATGTAACATTATATTATGATTTATTACCATATAATAAATAAAAACATTTTGATTATTAACTTATTAATTATTCTGACTGTAAATGCCAATCCAACTCTTGTAGTGTATTTGGATAATCACATAATTTGCACTCATGATGTATGCAAGTGACTTGAAGCTAGTCGTTGTCGCTACAAGATCCTGACAGGTGGCGGGCGTGGCGTGTTTGCTTGTTTATTTCCCATTTAATAATACATATAATTAAAACAAGTGTAAAAACTATCTTGTACATAATTATTTTGAAAAGAGTAACATTTTTATTAATGCAACTTAGAATGGCTCACCTGATGGAAAGTGAGAAACGTCATCGCCTATAGACATGAGCAGTACCATGGACATAACAGAATATACTGTTTCGCTAATGATACCCCCCATGCATTGTCATTCCTAAGAACTCAGGTTTTATTCCTCTGTACCCTGTAAATTCACTGCTATATCCCACATTTCAAACCGAAATACAGCCATGCAAACACAACTGATTCACGGTAGAAACAAATAGGACAGAGGTGCCCAAAGAAACAACTTTTGTACAAAGTCTCCCTCTGGTTGGTTCTAGTGACTGTTGAGTTTCTGGCGGGTTCTTTTCAGAAGATAACAACATACGGAACCCATTAGTACAATCATAAAAATTGACGATTTAAAAAAGCTTATAAACGAGTCTATTTGAATAAAAATTATTTCTATTATATTCTATTCAGCATGCCCACCACTGCGCCATAAGAGAAAGAGACAATTATAAAAAATAAATATCTTACATTCACCATGACACCGACATTATAGTGTGTTGTTAAACCAGGAAAAACGCAATGTTACCTAACAACACAAATGTCACGTAGATCAATGAATATCTGCCTATCTCCCGGAGCGTGAACATATATTATTTTTACTACCACCTCAAACGAAACCGAAAAAGGGCAATCTAAAAATTTACCTCATTTGTAAGGATTTATAACTCCTTTAAGGGGTGCCACATTGTAATTTACTGCCATATTTGTGACAAAATAGCTATTAAACAGCGGACAATGAAGGTGACAACCCTGATTTATTGGCGTGATAAAAGATGTATCTGTTTTAAGTTAAGGGTTCCAAAGACGAGCTTTAATGGGCGCCGATTTTAAACTAAGATCCCTGTAGAATAACTTGCTCGTCCCAAGTAATTGTTTAATCTTGTTATTTTTAACAATAAAATTAAAAATCATCCTTTAAATTGTGAACATAGGACTCCCTCTATTGTGGGAATTTGTCGGTAGTTGCCACATCTGACAGGCGGGTTGGCAACCACAGTTATGCGTTGTACATTTTTTAAGAGTGGCGCTGCTTTCCATCCGTCATCCATCCCTTAGTCGTCTTACGACACCCACGGGAAAGAAACAGGTGGCCTATTCTATGCCGGGACCACACGACGGTATCACAAAAAGATACCATAATGAAATGTCCTTTCATTAACAACAGTGTTTGTTTGTAGAAACGACAATAACGTTGAAACAGTGAAATTGTAACCATTAAAAGCAAGAAACGTGATACGCGGAAGGGAAAAGTTTAAAAATTTGTGTTAGAATAACATATTTTGGTGGAAGATCTCGGCATCCGACAATGGAGTGTATTATTGTTGTTCTCTATTTCGGTACTACTTATAGATGTATATTATGTTACGTAAATAACACCTCCTGCGGTTTTCTGTTCTTCTAGTACTTTATAAGGAAATTATAAGGAGTGATTAAAAAGTGTGAAATGGACTCACAGCGACAGCGACTTTGTTTTATGATTATAAGAAGTAATTAAAAAGTGTGAAATGGACTCACAAATTTTTGATAATAAAACCACAAATAATCTGCCATTTATAGCACAGCTTGTGATCACAGCATCATAAGCGAACACGGAAATGATCCACGAATGATGAATGAAATATGGTCCATGAATGTCCTGATACAACTCAAATACAATACCAGGTGTTACTAATATGCTGTCAATCCATCAATACATTTACATATAAATATATTCAAACTCTTCCAACTGCAATCATCAAGAAATCATCATGTCAAAATCTGAATATATTTTATTTTATTTTTATTTTTAGACGACTTCTCTACATTCATGTTTCACAAAAGACATTTTTTTGGCTGCAATTTAGAATGGCAAACAAGCTGACGGCCCACCTAATGAAAAATGGTAACCAACGCCTATAAACATGACAGTACCATGGACATAACAGAGTATAATGTTTTACCCATGATATACTGTTTTATTCATGTTTGCCCCCATGCGTTGCAATTCCTGAAGACTAAGGTGTTATTCTTCTGTACCCTGTAAATTCACTACCATATCAAACACACACAGTCATGCAAACTACTTTTTTTACAAAGCCTGGTGTCTACCAGATCCACGAGTAAAGGTTATGGTGAAATGTATTAAAGAATTTAAACCATTGTCCACAGCCCGACGAGTTGTCGAAATCAGTGAAACTGACGTCACGTGAACGCCGCTTCATCAAGTTCGCGAGCGTGGAGTACGGTGGCCAGTTGTACATGACGCCGCAGGACTTCCTAGAGTCAGTCGTCGAACAGGAACCAAGGCGTGAGTACCACAATTCAACCCGTATTGATATTCTTCTTCTATAGAATAGGCCATCTCTTACTTTCCCGTGGGTGTCGTAAAAGGCGACTAACGGTAGAGAACTTAACGGTCGACCCATGAACAACAGCGTCCCTCTTAATAACTGTAGTTGCCAACCTACCTGCCAAGCGTGGCAATGACTGGCAAATCTCTCCATTAGGGTAAAGCCAATTTTCAGCAGTGAACAGTGAACGGTTAATGTGGTAATGATAAATCATATATACAATTAATATATTTCACACATGTCAAGACAAGTCGGTATACTCGTAGAAGGAAAAAAACGAAAAAAAACCTTCATTCTGTCACAAAAACATTAATAAATGTTTATTTCTCAAACATGCTTGGAAATGTAAGCATTATTTTGACAATCTTCGAAATAAATCAAACTTACTAGCCGTACTGGCCAGATACATGCGGGCAGCGGCCGGCAAAACTGAACTTAAAAAGTAAAATTGTGTTTTTGATTTCCGCGCATTGTTTGAGAAAAGTACTATACAAACCTTGGCCACAACTAGGCATTGATGGACTCACGTATGTGTGCCTCGGTTACCCTCGGCCCACATTTGCACGTTCATCCATCAATGCCTCAGTTGCTGGCCGCTGCAGTAATGTACTATTATTACAAGTATATTTTACTTCGTATTATATATCCCAAGTACTACGTATGTATACTAGTTATTTTTTTTTACAATAGATGATAATGAAATGGTAACCCCGCCTGCGCTATAGGTATACGCTGGCAGGGCACCAGTGAGGGGTGATAGGTGAGAATAAAAGCAGGTTCGTTAGCCCATCGTAACGAATTACACTAGATCACGATAGTTTCCAGGGTGGATAAATAGAACCGCGTGGACGTCGACCCGATAGGGTGTATTGCTAGTTATGGGGAAATTAGTTACTCCATTATTAACAATCCATTTTCCCCTGTATACTAATATTATAAAGTTGTTATGTCCTGAGGTAAGCAGACATATCATACATTTGCGAGTATGAATCATATAATCCTGTTCGTTCGGGGGGAAATGGATTATTAATAATGGAGACTGAGAATCCTATTGCTAGCAATATACCTAACCAGGGCGACCTCCTCGCAGTTCTTCCTGGAAACTATCATGGTTAATTCCTGATGAATTCATCATGATGGGCTAACTGGCCTGTTTTCATTCTCATCTATCACCCTTCATTGGTGTTCCGCCAGCGTATCCCGTTAGCGCAGGTCATACCATTTTCACCCATAAAAAAATCCTGTTCATTCAGGACAGTATGGTCACAAGTTGTACTATTATATAATTAATATTGTATTCCAGAAAAAAAACCGACACCGATTATGAGAAAACTAGTCGTTTTAATTTAAAAACTAAACTACTAAATCGATTTTAATAAAATTTCTATAGGACCAAACTGTAAGTATAATATATCCTTTAAAATAAAAAAATCCTATTTGCATTTATAATTGACGCACTTATGAGGTAACAAACATAAATAAAAATACAACAGAGAATTTCCTTCTTCTTGAAATAAGTTGAGCAATATCAGATTTGTTATTAACTTTTGCAGCTCGTCTCAAAAGGCGTATCCTCACGGCCAAGGAGATCGAACAGCTGCGCGACCACACGCCAGCGTTGAAGAAAGGGTCACCGCAGATGTTCAGAAACCTTAGGGATAAAGGTCAGTATTTACTCAACTGCCAGAAAGGATGATTATGTTTTCCAACTGCATTTATATGGGGATCTTACATAACGTATACTGTAACATTTATGATGTTGCAAAACTAAGTCTTACTTATTATTTAATATAATAAAATTGTAGTTAAAGAATATTTATACATAGAAGATATTTAAAAGAATATAATAATATGAGAGGTATTAATAAGACCAATAGAGGCCAAAACAATAATTTTTGAAAATTTTAGACAAAATTTTCAAAAATACAAAAATACAGACAGACAGACGTCTGTCTGTATGTTTGTTCTGACATCGTCCAGAAACTACTGTATCACATTGTATGCGGTTTTAATAGTTGTAACTTAAAAACTAGTGTATCTTTTATCTTGACAAGCGTTGATTGTCTATTGACTATATGACCCCCCCCCCCCCTCCCTATATTGTTGAGGCCTATGTCCAGCAGTGGACAGTTAACGGCTGATATGGTGATGAATAAATAGAAGGGAACAACGAATTGGGCAACGCCTGCGTGACATTCCTGGTGTTACAGGCGTCCATGGGCTACGGTAACCCTGTTAACCATCAGATGCGAATCGTATTCTTGTTTGCCACCACAGTACTATAAAAATTTTTATAATAGTAATTACCTCTATGTATATATACCTTTGTTTCAGGAATAATTTCATACACGGAGTATTTATTCCTTCTATCTATATTAACAAGTGAGTATTTGAACTTCTTTTAGACTGTATATAGGTTAGATATAAAATGTATTTTAACCGACTTCAAAAAAGAAGATGGTTGTGCTCCTGTTCCACTGTGTATTTTTTTTTTTTGAGAATTTTTATAACGTTTTCAAACAAGTTATGTTAATCAAATCGTCATAGTCGAAGAATACTGACGGACCTTTATATGTAATCTTTGTCAGATCCGTCAGTATTCTACGACTATGACGAAATAGTATGGTAAGCACATCTCTCCTCCCCCCCCCCCCCTGTTTCCTGGCGTTGACAGGAAACACTGACAGTGATAGATGATAGGGAAGAATGAATGCAAGCCTGTTGGCCCGTCGTGACGAATTCGACAAGAATTCACCACGTGAATACTACTGAGCGGATTTAAATGAAATTTGATACACGGCTAGGTTACATCTTAACTTAGCATACAGGATACTTTATGTACTCATTTACGCGGGCAAAGCGACGGGATACAGCTAGTTAATAATATTGGTAGCTAGCAAATCAGTAAATGGCAATGTATTTTTCCAGAACCGGCCTCCGGTTTTCAAATAGCATTCAACATGTTCGACACTGATGGCAACCAAAGAGTGGATAAGAATGAATTTCTAGTCGTAAGTACTAATATATATTGTTTGTTTTTTAAAACCTTAAATCATATATGTCTTGATAGGAGACACCAGAAGGAGACTGTACAAACGTCGTTTGCTTGGCTACCTCTGTTCCATTGGTGTTTCTACTGTGAAGTTGTATGGCTGTGTTTCGGTTTGAAGGGTGGATATGGCAGTAAATTTACAGGGTACAGAGGAGTACCTGAGTGCTTAGGAATGGCAACGCATGGGGGGTATCATGGGTGAAAGAATATACTCTGTTATGTCCATGGTACTGCTCATATCTAGAGCCAACGATTACCACTTTCCATCAGGTGGACCGTCAGCTTGTTTGCCATTCTAAGTTGCATAAAAAAAGACAATCATCCTTAAAAAATTTGCTTAATTTTTTTTATTTTTGTATCAGTGAGTTTCTATCATGGACCGTACTTGACTTATATTATGTCAGTGTATGTGTGAACAGGGATACCATAATATTACAGTGATGACTTGCAATACCGAAAAATATAGCGATTACATTTGATTAAAAAAAAAATACTTGAAAATTCAAGATAACTGTTGGCTGCAAATACTATTTTTTTTCAAGATTTTTGACATTAGAAACCTGATCTAAATATATAATGCATTCATTTAAAAATAATTAAAGATTGAAAATTAATTTAAATTTAATACCCATCAAATTTAAATTAAAAAACGATTTATTTATTAATTTATATGCTTTTGTACATTAATTTTTAATGTAGATATCAGGTAATAACAAAAATGTACATACATGGACTTATTCCTTAAAGGGATTTCTTTCAGTCAACCTTTAGAACCCGAAAGGAGAAAGTGTCTATAGGGTTTGTATATAAAGCACAACATGTATGGTGCAAAAATAATATGATAAATAATAAAATGTATTATTTATAGCTATATAGTTAATAACAGAGTAATATAGATAAATGAAATTATAACTGTTATTACTTTATCTGCATTTATAATTTACAAAGTTCATATTTTTATTTTATGGTATTTTTATTTTTTTTTATTTTATTTAGAATAACACATTTTTTTTATTGGATACTAATGAAAGATGATAAATAAAACCTTTAAGTAGTAACCTACATGTAAAATTTATTAAAAGTAAAAAAATCGATCGAGGTACTATCTCGTTGACCATATAGCAACCAAAGTGGAAATTAATTTATTTTATTTATTTATTTATTATTATTTGACAAAAAACACAAAGTTACAAATACAAAATACAATGGGTCCCGCAGTAGGCGAACCTGTATCGTGGGCACCCGGCAAATATTAACAATTCACAAATGTGTTGTAATAAAAAGTACATAGTGAGCGGGTATTAATATAAAAAAGTATATAAAATTGAAATAGTGAAAAAAGTAATAAAATCAACAATATAAATACAGAAGCAATTATAAGATACTGATGATATATGCCCTTAAGAGAAACTCAGTTGAATAAATGAATGTGGAAATGTTCAGGAGTATGTGTGAATGTGTGTTGTGTAATAAAATGAAATAGGCCAAAACTAAATTCAAACCCGAATGAAACAATGTTTAAAACAGATGAAGCTAGAGAAATAAGTCTATTTTTTATGGGTGACAATGAAATGGTAATTCCGTCTGCGCTGTCGGTATACATTGGCAAGATACCATTGAAAAATAACGGACGAGGATGAAAGCAGTTCAGTAAGCCCATCATGATGAATTTCGCAAGGATTAACCATGATGGTTTCCAGGCGAAACAGCGTGGAGCTCGACCCGATAGGATATACAGATTGCAATGAAGCTGTTAAACCCCATTATAAATAATCTCTTCCAACACACACACACAAGTATATCAGCATAGACTGTTATTACTACTATTCGTATCTGAGTAGCACCCTTTGATGACAAGTGTTTCCAGGCTGCGCTCGTTGCACACGAAGATTTCTCACGTGGCTTATGGTCTCTGCTAAACTAATAACACCTACCGATAGCTTATCACTGGAATAAATCAAACATCAATATATGTTTATAATCACGCCTACTCCTTGAGAGGGAAATCTATAACATTATTTATTTATCTTTCACTTTATTGCACCAAGTAATAAAAATTATAAATACTGTAAAATTATTATTAGATTATTTCCATACACAAAATGGATGATACGTCAATAGATGATTCTGAAAAATATTTTTTTCAATATTGTAATTTATTGTTTAAGTATAATAATAATATAACTATCACTATCATCATCTTCCTACCCTTATCTTACTTATTATTTGTCGGCGTAATATGGTTTTATCCATATTATAAAAAGATTTGGTTTTTAGTTTTACGACCAGCCACCTGCCTGACGTCAACCCTCTTTGGGAACAATATAACTATCACTATAACACTAATTAAGATCTATTTCAACCATATTTATGCAAATAAATTATTATTATTATTGTAAGTGCATATTTTTATCATCCATGGTGTTTATGGTTTTAGACTTATAGTACAATTTGTGACTACATTAGTGTATAGTTTTATTTTTCACCTGAAGTAGCTATGTTTAGAAAAAATTAATATAGCACAGCACAGAGTAGCTATTCCTGTAGAACGTTTACCTATTGATTGAAGTGCATAAAATTGTAAAAACTGTAAGTGATCTCAAAGTAGCATATCTCTAGTTTGAAGTAATCTGTAATTATATGCACTGTGATCAAAAACTCCACAAAGATACTATGTCATAGCACGTTTAACACGAGAACATCTTTATTCAAGAAGGAACTATCATTTTATTTATTTAAGTATTTATTTTTTATTTTCTATTCTTTTTTCTGAGCATGTTTTCTGCCGTATATAATTTAGATCCAACGGTTGCTCGGTGGTGCGTTTAAGGAGCGTAAGAATCTGGACCCCAAAAGTCAGGAGGCAGTGAGTCAAATGAATGCTTCTTTTACGGTTTCGGTAAACGATTAAGTTTCAATTCGATTTATTATCATTGTAAATTATCCTATATATATATATATATATATATATATATATATATATATATATATATATATATATATTATTGTTGTTTAAATGAACAGAACACTTGAAAATTATTGTTTACTAATAGCTAATCAACAATTTGAAAAAAAAAGTATAAATGAGTATTTATTTTTTTCCTTTTTTACTTAATATATTGTTAAAGTATTTCAAATAAAGTACAGTAATAAAAAATACACGTGAATATATATAAATAATATCTATTCATATTATATATTATTATTTCATTAATCTTTTAGAATAAACAAAATCGCTAATAAATCGATTTGGACTTTTAACTCGCCTCCGAAAATAAAAGGTTGTGCCGCTCTAAATATAAAGAATGTCTGGTTATGTTCGTTTCTGGTTTCTGTGTCGTTCGTTTTGTTATTTTTTATTTTTTGTCTTCTTTCTTTATATTTTATTGAATGTTAATTCATCACTTTTGTATATAAAAGTTCAATATGTCGTATCTTACTTAGTAATCCATTTATGGAATTTGCAAGTTGTTGGGTTCGACTCCTTTAATTTCATTTTAATAATCAGTGTATGTTTCCATATATTAATATTTATTGTTTTATATTTGAGACATAATACATAAGCTAATTTCTGTGGAAGATACTTTTTTTTTTTTGTTTTAAAAAGCGGCACAACCAGCTTTACATTTTTTGCTTTGAAATTATTTCGTTTACTTGATTTTTATATTAATTGTTTTTTTTTTTATTTTTTTTTAATCAGAAAACAGCGCTTCTCATCTAAAATGTCGAAGTATAAAATTGCTTTATACTGATTATTTGTATAATAATTATATTTGTGTGTAATATGTGCTCACCGCCTGGCATTGTAGCTGCTTTCCTTAGTCTCTTCAAGTGCACAGAAGAGCAAGATGGCCCAAATCGAAACAGATTATAAGCCTTCTACAGTAAGTGAACAATCCGGGTTTTGCGTGTCACTGGCTGCATCTGTCCAATTGTTTTTTTTTTCTATGTTGTGTCGTACCGTAATTTTTTGAGGCATAGCTTGTCTCGTTCGCACACATTAAAGTGTAAAAATGTTGTGACACAATTATTGTAAGTATAATGTTCACTATACAATAAAAACATGAAATATATTTATATGTCTGTTGATTGTGTGAGCGAGAAAAATATCTATTGTTTCTTTTTTATTTTCTATAATAATGTCTTGCAGTCGCCTGATTGTTTACTCTTGCATAATGCGTTTCTTTTTTCTATATCAACCTTTTTTTGTAGTTTGTTTATTCTGTCGTCCATTATCTGTTTTACAAAATAATTTAATCAATACATAATATAAATACGAAAGATTTTCATACTATGGATCTATAATGACAGATAGGTCTTAAGAAATAAAAAAAAATGTAAACACAGACTAAACCACCATTTTATGTTTTTTTTTTTTTTTTTATAAAACTTACTGTTTATTGTCATTAATAATCACCTGTAATGACGGTGTACAATATACGCAAGCACTTTAGCCACTGTACAGGCTTATTCTTACTAAAACTTACTAAAAATTAAATGTTTTATTAAAAAAAAAAAAACTTAAAACTTCCTATAGACTTATTTTAATTTAGTGGGTTTTATCTCCTTCTTGTTTTGCCACTAACTCGAATTTGCCTCAAAAGAAAGAGACGAAATTCACCAATAACTAAATACATACAAATATATACATCAAGTTTGTCTCTCATTGCAAAAGTTTACGAAACTATTTTAATATTTTTTTACTATACTAATACACTGTGAAATATTTAATTTACCAAATATTAATTGAAACATCAAAATAATTAAATTCACTCATTATTAAAAATTTTTTTGCACGTTTTTTACCCAATTACCGTTTAGTGATACTGATACTCTATTAATATGGTGTTTTTCTTTATTCTATTATCTTCTTCTACTTTCTTTATTTAAATATATGTATAATATAAGTATGCTCACGACGATAATACTCGACGAGGTAATAAGAGGCAATTAAATTGTTGCTGAATGAAGACAATATACCCGCCACAAGATAAAGTTCCATCCCGACCATTTGGACGTGGCGGTCCTCCACCGTGCATTTCTGTAGACATTCTCTTCCATACACAGCCAATGTACCATACATTGGCTGTGTATGGAAAATCCTACTACTTACCTACCTACCCCCAGCAGCATTATTTCCGGAGATACGACATTGAAACTGTCAATAAGATAAAATAGATAAAGATATATTTATTCAACAAATATATGTTTGTATAAGCACAGAATTTATCATTGATTCCTACACTAGGCTGAGCCTGTCCTGTAGGGAACAGGGTTCGTTTTACCATATACGTGCATACAAAGATTAACATAGGCTTTTTAATACAGCTATTAATTGTTTATCTACTAATTTATATAAAAAAACATATACCTTCCTAAAAGGTCGGTAAAATACCAGCAATTTCTCTGAATAACTTCAGGCGCGTGTTGGCGGCGGTAATTACTTTGTTAGGCCACATGCTCGTTTCTTTATGTAATAAATAAATATTTGACAAACTCACACTTTGCCCAACATATTAATTGTATGCAACATAGCAGGTGACGAGCCTAACGCCATCTCTAGGATTGTTTTGCATTAGTATTTTCCGTTACTAATAATACCATTGTTGGACCTGTATGTCGAGTCCTAAGATTATATAGATAGAGTGTCTCCATACAAATGCTTCGAGAAAAACGAGTCAACTTTTTCATACAATTTTGCGTGATAAATAGTTATGAGTAATTATTTTTAACTTCTATATTTATTTTGTTTTATAATTTTTGCATCTTTTTTAATACGTTAAAACTTATTTTATTTATTAAGTAATTAAATATAGATACATCAAGATACATTATGTGCATAAGTGTATGGAACATAATTTAAAAAATTAGTCAACTACAGGTCAACTCTTCGTCAGCTAGTTAACAAATTAGCTGACGAAAAGTTAACCTGTTTTTGACGATCGATGCTCTATCTATATAATCTGAGATCGAGACAATCATGGTGTTTTTTAGGAAGAAGGAATTATAAGGAGAATATAGGCAAGCTATATACGAGGTTTGTCCGGAAAGTACGTATAAAAGTTTTTTAAAAATTTTATTTTACAATTATTCAGGTAAATCAATTTTATCCCCTTCAAAGTACTCCCCCTGTGACATAATGCACTTGTGCCAACGCCGTTTCCACTGTGAGAAGGCTCCTTGAAAGTCCTCTGGTTGTAGGTTTCTCAGCTGCCCCGTCGTAGCTTTTTTTATCTCATTTATGTCCCCCAAATGCCGCCCCCGAAGTACCAATTTGGTTTTTGGGAACAAGAAGAAGTCACACGGGGCCAAATCCGGCGAATAGGGGGGGTGTTCGGTCACCGTAATGGAATTTTTACTCAAAAACTCACGGAACGATCTTGGCGCAAATTTTTTTCATTTGAAGTTCGTTTCTTAGAATTTCGTGGACCACGGTTTTGCCCAAATTAAGCTCTTCAGCCACCTGTCTGACCGTTAAACGACGGTCCCCATTAACACAAGTTCGAATTCTTTCCACGTTTTCGTCGGAATGTGAAGTGGAAGGACGTCCTGAACGTGGGTCATCTTGAACGCTTTCTCGGCCCTCTCTGAATCTTTTTAGCCACTTGTGGACGGTTGGTTCCTTCACAGCATCATCCCCATAAACTGTTCTGAGATCGGCAAAAATTTCACGGCCATTCTTGCCGAGTTTCGAGAGAAACTTGATTACGACGCGCTGCTCTTCAACGGAAGCGGGCTCCATGCCGACGGGGTTTCGTTAAGAGGTAACTTCACAGATGGCGTGACAAGCCAGTTCGCACCGCACGGCGGTCAGACCAGAACTGAAGCATTGTTAGGGACATAAGGAAGGGGTCCTGCGCTTACCTGGCCTCCCCACTCCTCTTTCTCGCATTCCAGAACACTTTTATACGAACTTTCCGGACAGACCTCGTATAATAGAATAGATCTTTATTCAAATATATTTGTTTACAAGATCTTTTAATATTTTTTTTTTATGATTCTACTGCTCTTATTCTAAATTTAATAATGGACAATGAAAGGATTTTTTTAATGGATGATAATCGAAAGGTAACCACACCCGCGCTATCGGTATACACCGGCGGGGCACCAGTGAAAGATGATAGGTGAGGATGAAGTAGGTCAGTTAGCCCATCGTGACGAATTCAACAAGAATTGTTCACGATGGTTTCCAGGGGGAACCACGTGGAGGTCGACCTGATATTGTTAGCAATGGGGCTGTTAAACCTCATTACTAACAATCTCTTTCCCCCCTATCTACCATATATAGACATTGTTTAGTTACAATTCTATTATATTTGTAAGATTCATGATAAGATTGGCTACAGTGACCGTTTACCGTTTACCTTAACCGACCTAATAAGGCATATTACTAGCAATGGGGCTGTCAAACTCCATTGCTAACAATCCCATGAATCCAATGAAAGGTTAAAATAATAATAATAACTATGTGTTATGCACTTGCGGTTTGCCGAAGAGCGTCGCATATTATCAAAAGTTCCGTAGAGGTCGTCGACCCCCATCTAATGCAATAAAATTATGCTCTACTAGTACTGATAGCAGAAAAAGTTATAATTTTTATTTTTATATTATTTTTTTTCTTTATTAAAAAATATATTACTTTTGATGCAAAGGAATTATTACTTAATTATATTTAGCAAAATAATGAAAATTAAAATTTAATGGAACTGTTTTTTTAAATTAAATGTTCTAAATCTCCATTTAATCTTTAAACATTCACATTCAGCTGTCATATCATTACATTCGAAAATACTATTGCTTCGGACTTGTTGTTTTGAAGTTTGAACTCCAAATTAATCTAATTATTTGATATGAACTTTACAAGCTTTCTATTTTTACAAAATTGCATGAAAAAATTTAATTCGTTTTAATAACATAAATAAATACATTATTACATTTAAAAATTAAAACGTTACATGTGGCTGCATATTGTGAAAATTAAAATTTTTAAGCCTTATGGATTTTGTGCGTCTTGCATTTTTTTATCCTGTACTATTATTACTTATTGACTAACATAAAACAATCGTGCATGTATGTTGTAAATTACACTGCTACATTACTGCAACAATAAACATAATTATGTAAACTGTTACAGAAAAGAATTCGAAACCCAGCGATAATATGCATTAAACTTACTCTCTGCAACGATTTATGTCCAGAGAAAATAAAACCTTTTTTTTTTAACATAATGGAAAAATATTTTTTAGTCTTACCAAAACAGTCATGCTCCAAATATAATAATAAAAAGGAATATGAAAATATTTTTATAACAAATTCTATTATATCGATCACGTATGACAAGAGCATTTTTGTATATATTTGATTTTTTTTTGATCGTGTGGTTTGAAGTATCAAAAAATCTTTTTTATATTTTTTTATTTATTTATTTATTCATTCATTTGTCATAGTTATTTCCGTATTTATTGTTTACTTTTATTGTTATATATATATATATATATATATATATATATATATATATATATATATATATATATATATATATATATATATATATATATATATATATATATATATATATATATATATATATATATATATATATATATATATATTTAATGCATTCATGTACATAATATAGAGTTGTTATAATGCTCTTATGATGTGTAAGTACATGAAACCCTGTTTGGGTGTAGCAGAATTATATTGATATGTAGCTAATGACAATACATGCATTAATGACAATTTAAATGTTAGATTATATTTAATTACTTTACATATAAATATTAGTTTTTTAATAGATTTGTCATGCAATAATTTTGATTTACATTAAATAAATAAAAAACAATTTAAAATATCATATAAAGATGAAGTCATTCTGGTTATTTAGGTATATTTTACAAGGAACATGCCTTGAAAAAATTTGTTCGCTTCCATGAATAATATCGCTGGATTTCGAATTTTGATAATGTTTTATTTACATTTACATTGTACAATATATTGCTGTATTGTAATTGTAACTTACGTACTACGTACCTAACTTTAATATTTAAATAAAAAATTTATATTTATTACATTTAATAATTCTAAACTTGTGTCCTCTATATTCCATTACAATCCGTTAATAACCCAGGAGTGGGCATAGATCTCTTCCTATTAGAGGAATATATTAGCGCTCTGTTACCACTCTGGCCAAGTGGTCTAGTATAGAATTTTATTTCGAGATTTTCATCTCTTGTATTAATGTATTATAATTTAATATTGTCCCATAAAAAAGTCAGTCGTAGCAAAACCATTTTAAAAACTAAACTAGTCAACCGATTTTGACAATATTTCTATGAGACTAATCTGAGAGTATATCCTTTCAGATAAAAAAAAAATAATTTTCCATATTGGTTTATAAAGAACAAAATTATGAGGTAACAAACATAAAAAAAATCAACCAGATTCAGAGCCTGCTCCTTTTTTGAAGACGATTGAAAATCTATATTTTTATATTTATTTTTTAAAAACCCTGTGATACACTTGTAATAATCACCATATAACTTTTTATAACCTTGTGGTCCCTGCATAGAATAAGCCACCACTTCCTTCCCCGTGGGTGTCGTAAGAGACGACTAAGGGGAATTAATGGGAGAAGGATGGGTAGCAGCGTCCCTCTTAAAATACCTGTAAAAGCCTAACTGCGGTTGCCAACTCGCCTGCCAAGCGTGGCAACTACTGTCAATACTCCCCTTATGGGGAAGGCTTATGTCCAACAGTGGACAGTTAACGGCTGATAGTGATAGTGAACTTTATATATTAGGAAAGCATAAAATACACTTATATGTCAATTTTAAACTGTCACTATCATAAATAAATAAATAACAATCATTATCAAAACCTGTTTAGCAATTTGATGTATTTTTTATTTATAAATCACACACATGCTTCTATTTATAGACGTTCCAAAAAAAAATTATAATTTTTAAGGGCTTTTACCTTCTTCAGGTATATCAACCCTATCGTACCCTGAACTAATTTCTCAAATAAAGAAGAAAGAGAGGAATTAATGGACATAAATAATTTACAGATATGTTCAGAATATTTTAGAATCCGTACTGTTATAAATATGAAAGTGTATTTCTTACGTCTTGGCAAACAGCAAAAAACAGTACCAACAGTGGGTAACGTGCCTGCTGTTGGTAGCTTAATGCTGAAATAAGAACTCCTTGGTCATTTTTTTTTTCTCTTTTATAATTATGACTATGTTAGTTACGTTTTGTGAATTTGTTTTGTGGCCACTAAATGTTTTCCATTCAATTCTATTCTCTTAACAATTTAAAGGCTTAACCAATCGTTTTGAAATTTGGTACATGCGTACTATATGGGAAGGGCTATCCTATATTCCGGTCTGACGAAGTCGCGGGTTAAAGCTGGTATAAGAATATAGAGGACACAAAATTATCTACCGAAATGTACCATAAAAATGTTATTAATAAATATATAATGGCAACATAGATGGAGAAGATCTTCAGCTTCGCGTGGCGAGGCAAGAGGGGTATGACAGAGGATCCGAGCCAAGATGGCAAGGAGGGAGCCCCACAAGACAACTATGTGAATGATGAACAAGGTCTGCAGAGGAGGCACAACGTGGACACGTTACTGCAGGTGAGGTTTTATGCATCATGAAATGTCAAGCATGCATGAAAAGTGTTTTTTTTTTAACAGGTAAAAACAGAATGGTGCACTCGCCTTTTTTTTATACTACGAAGGTGGCAAACAAGCATACAGCCCGTCTGATGGTAAACGGTTACTATAGCCTATGGACGCCTGCAACGCTAGTAGTGTAACGTGCGCGTTGCCGACCCTGAAGATGCCTTTAATAACGGTATACGAGTACTATGGCAGATGTTTTTTTAATGGGTGAAAATGAAATGGTTACCCCGCCTGCGCTATCGATATACGCTGGTGGTGCACAGGAAAGGATGATAGGTAAAGACAAAATCAGGTTATTTGGTCCACCATCGCCAATTCCCCAGGAATTAACCACAATGGTTTCCAGCGGACGGACCTCCGTGGTAGTTGACCTAACGACCTTAAGGTATAGCTGATACCCGCAATTTTGTCCGCGAGATATTTGTTATTCCTTCGGTTAACATATTTAACTTCCTTATTGTAGTGAACTACGTCTAAGAATACTGGACCAAAACTAACAAATGACGTGTCGTTCTCACCCTTTGCCTTAGGTCAAAATGACTTTGCTTAAGTAGGTTGTGTGCTAAGCTGTATAAATTACTATTTTTTAACTATCCTACGAGAACTCTTTAATTTTCCGTAATTAAAAGTACCTGAAATGTTGACCGGGCATGTAAGGTACCACCAAGCAAAATGTCATTTAAATCTGTCCAACAGTCGCGGAGATTAGCTTGAACACAGAGTAATGTCTATGTCTATGTACAGACATTCAATCTCTACAGTTTTATTATATGTATAGATTAGCTAATATTATAACTAATGAGGGTTGAGCGCTGTTGTCTGAGATACAGGTTTTAAAGCCTAGTTTAAACACAGATGTTTAAACTTTTTTTTTTATACTACTTAGAATGGCAAACAAGCTGACGGCCCACCTGATCGAAAATGGTAACCGTCGCCTATAGACATGAGCAGTGCCATGGACATAACAGAGTATACGATTTCGCCCATGATACCCCCCCATGCGTTGCCATTCCTGAGGACTCAGGTGTTATTCCTCTGTACCTAGTAAATTCACGCCATATCCCACCCTTCAAACCGAAACACAGCCATGCGAACACAGCTGCTTCACAGTTGAAACACGAATGGAACAGAGGTAACCAAGCAATCGACTTTTGTACAAAGTCTCTCTCTGGTAAACTGATCCAAATGTACAAATGAATTCGTACCTACTTTTACTGTAATTTCCTGTATATTACAATCATAGTTATGCAATAAAGTTATTATTATAGATTAGTAGCCATCAGGTCATTCCAAACGATCCACCTACCACCACTACAAGTAATGTTAACGGTTCCCATAACCACCATAAATCTGGCAACCTGCCAATTGGCCGTCCAATTAAAAAGTAATGTGAAGTCGAAAATTTAAAGTGAGGTCACACGTTAAGTAGCATGTCACAACCCCGATTTAACCTCTGAAATTTATTTGGTTTTAAAAACTTTGTTTACTATAAAGAAGTATAATTATTTATATTTAAAATGATACTTAACCATTTAAAAAATGTCTGTGGTGTCATATTTGAGGTAAATACACAGAGGGTTCCGTACTTAAATAAATTAGTAAATTTGTAGCTAGTTTCTCGTTTTCTTTGAATGAAAAATGAATATTTGGAATATGTACTAAATATTTATACATCAACTTTACAAGAACTGTTGATCAATTTTAAATAAAAAGCGTTACTTTTTTTTACGTATATTTTACTAGTGTAAGTTTAATATAATTTTAGATTTATATTTTATATATATAAAGCAAATAAACTAAAGTAAATGCTTAACACAATAAAACCAATAATTTGGTCTTATTGTGTGTACTTTATTTTTTCAATTGTTTCTTTTGCAATATATTTAGCTATATAATTATATAGCTGGCTGGAAAAGAATGTATGAATTAGTTGCCCCGACAAGAGGAAACTGTTAAATGAGACAAGAAGAACAAGTATATAACAATATCTAAACAATATAATTTTTTTTTAAAGTTTAAATCGATAGTATTAGTAATTATTAAAATTAAATATAGCGCTGTGACAGACAAACGAACAAAGTTGAAGTATATCGTTTCCTTTTCGTTTCACAATTTTAGTACGGAACCCTAGAAACGCTTTGGAAATGTGCACTCGAAACGTGATAAAATATGTCTATATCTATCTTAATTACGCAAGTGGCGTGCCATAAACCCCATTCCTCATTTTAGCTTTTTAAGATTTATTCAGATTTTATAATACAAAACTTGAATGGACATTTAAAGTAATGGTATACCCGAACGTGCCAGTACAAAGATCTAACAGACGTGAGAACTTCTATTGAGAATTACTACAGAGTTAGCACTTTATTCATGTTACTTTAAACCTCATTGTTTAAAACTCTTTGGGGATATATATTATTGCTTTATAGCTTTATTGTCATCCCACTTTATTTTTATTAACGTCAATAAATTTACCACAAAATACATACATCACAATGCAAATGCAATCTATTTACACATACAAGATACACTCAACAGATTACAATCATTAACATTAAATTAAATATAATAAATAAATATATATATATATATATATATATATATATATATATATATATATATATATATATATATATATATATATATATATATATATATATATATATATTATATTTATTTACAAAAATAAATAGTTTGAACTACATTGAGACCCAGACAGCAATGTTAAAGCAGTTAGCAAGCAATATTTAATTATAAATTATATAAAGAATGTGGTAAATAACAGTGAAGTACATGCAAATAATAAAAAAAGTCATTCTAAATACATGTCGTATCGTGTGCGAATTCACACAAAAAGATCCTAATCCTAATCATTCATTAATAGAAATATTAGAATTTCTTGGTGTAACAAACCCATAAGTCTGAGTTTGAAAACCAAAATAAACGTTTCAAGAATAAAAAATAGAAAACTATAATAATAATAATAAATAGTCATTAAAATTATTGCTAAGATATCAGCCGTTAACTGTCCACCCTTGAAAGGTTTTACCAGTAGTTACCATGCTAAGCAGGCGAGTTGGTAACCGCAGTTTCTTTTTTTATGGATGATAATGGAATGGCAACCCCGTCTGCGTTAATGGTATACACTGGTGAGACACCAGTGAAAGATAATAAGTGAGAATGAAAAGGCAGGTCGGTTAGTCCATCGTGATGAATTCCCTTGAAATGGAACACGATAGTTTCTAGGGGGAACCGCGAGGAGGTCGCAAAACAACGCAATTATTTGGAACCCACATGAGTCTAAATATATACTTATGGTGGAAAAAAATCCAAAAGAAATTTGTAAGGTGGCTGTACCAAAAACAGTATGGTTTCAAGGTATCTTATCCCCATATATATCCGAATATGTTTTCGTTGGGTATGGTGGGCTATAATATACTTGAAGTGTGACGAAAACTAAATTTAATTGAGTATGTGTTAAAATTAATGCGGGGGGAAAAATGTAACCAAACTGTACTGGAATCAATATCAATAGAAGCGCCCAGTAACTACGTGCGAGCACGTCGACGACACTTATTCGATGTTCCATTACGAAGAACAGAGTTCGCTAAGCAAACTCCCCTATCTCTTGCATTTCGACCTGACAGGTTGTATTGCTGGCAAAGCAGCTACTAATCCCCATTATTAACAATTCCTTCTCCCCCTTGGGGTTGCCAAGGGGGAGTTAGGGTTTGATGATGTTTTTAGAGGGACGCTGCTGCCAATCCCTCGACTGTTAAGTTCCCTTAGTCGCCTCTTACGATGTGAATGCCGTAAGAAGGAGGGAAAGGAAGGAATGGCCTATTCTACGCCGGGACCACACTTTAAAATTATTAATCATTAAAAATGTTCAACCCACAGACACACATCTCACTACAATTTTATTATACCTATACACCATTGCGCAATATATGCGGCTTGCCGAAAGATCCCACGTACTATCAAGGGCCCTATAGGTTATCGTGTCTTGTTAGGAACAATAAAATAAAAGTAATGGAATATCACTATATTACCCTATAGTGTCGGTACGATGGGCAAACAAAGTTATTTTTTAATATTTAAATGTTTTTAATAACTAAAATATAAGTATATTTGTTATTCATATATATTTATTTGTTTTATATATGTAATTTTAGTATGTATGTATATCAATAATTAGTAGTACCGCACTCGAGTATTCTGACACTTCCCTATGGTTGACTGGGAGAGAATGCTTTTAACATTAAGTCCGCCATGTACACATATTTGTACTAATGAATAAATAAAATAAATAAATAAGTAAAATATAATTTTATTTATACCACAAAAGTGGCAAGCGGGAATACACCTCGTCTAATGGTAAACAGTCACTGTAGCCAATCTTATCATGAATCTTACAAATATAATAGAATTGTAACTAAACAATGTCTATATATGGTAGATAGGGGGGAAAGAGATTGTTAGTAATGAGATTTAACAGCCCCATTGCTGACAATATCAGGTTGACCTCCACGCGGTTTCCTCTGGAAACCATAGTGGTTAATTCTTGTTCAATTGGTCACTATGGGCCAACTGACCTGTCTTTATCCTCACCTGTCACCCTTCACTGGTGCCCCGCCAGTGTATACCGATAGCGCAGGCGGGGTTACCATTCCATCTTCATCTGTTAAAAAAAAAATACATGGGAGATATTGAAGAAAAATTAATATGGAAGTCTTAATAAGACTAATAGAGGCCAAAACAATATTTTTTATAAATTTTGTCTGTCTGTTTGTTAGTTCCGCCATCACACAAAAACTGGATTGGATGTAGTTTTCACAGTTGCGTTACTAAAGGTCTAACTTAAAAACAGCTGTGTGTTTTATCTTGATACGCCCATCTAGAAGTAGTCCATATTAATGGTTTTCCAACTTCTGGAATCCACGCGTACGAAGTAGCGGACAGAAAGCTAGTATGTACTCATATATAATATAAAAAACTAACTTTTTGTGGGGCTAAGTCTTTCTCGCGACATCCGCGTGGAAACTGACGTTTTTCATTACATTATTATAAGGAACTACTGTATAAGATTTGAAATTAATATTATATGTACATTATTTTAAGATTGTGTCCTACAAAAAAAAAAAAAAACAGACTTCAAAAAACCAAAAAATCCAGATATAATATTTTGATCTAAAAACTAAACTACGGAGCGGATTTTTTAAAATTTCCATGGGACCAATCTGTAAATATATTTTTAGAGATAAAACAAGAAGTTTCCGAATCAATTTAGAACTGACGGAGTTAAAAACAAACATAAAAACAAAACAACCGAAATAAGTACCTTCTTATTTTTCAAGTCGGTTGAAAAATCTCGTATCAGAATATTCATTCACATTACAAATTCAATTTTAATGAAATTTTGTAAATGTGTATTTTTTGATCCAACTTGAGTGATAAGATAGTTTCGACGACAACCAGTATTCTTAACCCTCCTAGGAGAGTTTAGGTGAAGACCTCGGACCCCTTTTCCCCGGCTTCAACTCCGGGGATGACTACCCCTGGGTCGCTGGCTTGAAGCTCTACTCTTCCAAGGGTGAGGCGTGATCTTCTGTCTACTTCGATGTTGTTGCAGTGGTGGGGATGTGAGACCTCTTCTTACCTCTCTAAACATAGTTTTTATCCCAATATGGCAAAATGGATCCGGTGAGTGGCTCTAGTGTATCCCTAGATGTCATTTTTTATGTCGTCATTTCAGGTTCATTTCTTTGGAAAGAAAGGCACAAGCGATCTGAAATTCGAGGGCTTCAAGCAGTTCATGGAAAATCTACAGACCGAGGTTCTTGAACTGGAGTTTCAGGAATTCGCCAAAGGTAATTTTTTTTTGAGATTAGAGTAAATTTAAAACCTCTAGATCAGTGATTCTCAACCACTGTGCCGCGGCACTGTTGTGTGCCGCCAAATTTTGAAAGTGTGCCGCCAAATTTTGCAAATATTTAAAATTTTTGTCATAAACTATTTATGCAGTGTGTTGTAGTAAGTAAATAATTTTTATCTTTTTCTTTGTGTGCCGCCATATTTTGAAATCGTTAAATATGTGCCGCAACAAAACAAAAGGTTGAGAATCACTGCTCTAGATGAATATAATTTAGAAAAAAGAAATCGGGACTTTAGTTTTAAAATTTATTTAACTGAAATTTTGTTATCTATTTAGTTATTATAACAATTTTAATACAAAAGAGTGTGAAGGTTTTTCTAATATTATTATATTATTAATACAGCCATTAACGGTCCATTGATAACCATAGGCCTCCCCCATAAGGGGGATTTGCCAGTAGTTGCCACTTTAGCTTTGCTGATTTTTTAAGAAAGACGCTGCTGCCCATCTCTCGACCTTTAAGTACCCTTAATCGCCTCTTACGACAGCCACGGGAAAGGAAAGAGTGGCTCGTTCTAATAATGTTATTTAAATCTGTTTATCTATTTATGTATGGCTGAGTAACATACATCCAAATATCTGTAATCTACTAAAAATATGCTGCTATAAAATATGTACATTTTGATCTGCAAATAAAAAAAAAACTATGTAAAAATGTTTTGTCAGTGGGTTTGATTCTGAATCGTCACGTCTCTGAATCTATCTCTTAGCCTAATATTATGTTTGTGTTCACATAATTCAATTATAAAATGTTATTTCTATAGTTCTATTGTTTTATAGTTATGTAGTATTTATTTACACTTTATTGCAATACTCATTTTTATTGTTATTTATACTTGCGTAGTATTTGTTCTAATACTGATGCTTTCCTTGTTCAACCTATTATCATATCCCTCTGAGGGGTTTTGCCAGTAGTTGCCAAGCTTGGCAGATAGATTGGCAACCGTAGTTAGGCTTTTGATATGTTTTAAGAGGGACGCTTGTACCCATTCTCCATCCATGGATGACTGTAAAGCTCACGCAGTTAATCAAATAAATAAATATTTTAATTTGGTAATTTCGGGAAATTACTGTTTTGTGGTCCATCACAAACTAAATTTATAATAATTTCGACATAAATCTTTTAAAAATTTAGTTCATATTGGTCCTCAGAATAATGATTTCGCTGTGTATATCAAATTGAAATTTTAAAAGTGTAGAAAAATAACCCCTCAATATCGACCCACGTGTTGTTCGAGATAATGTAAGGAAGCAAACGATACCCCATACATCGAAATCTGTTTAGGCATATAAACATTATGGTAAAGTAAAAAGACTCACATACATACATAAAGCATGAAAACATTACACTCTTTTTGTGGGCAATCGTATAAAAAGATATTGCAACGATAAGTTCTTTACAAATTTAATAACATTTTCTGACAGGTTTACCCGCACTTTATCTTCGGTTGCACTCATTAACCAAGCTTGGTTGAACTCTAAAATTATTTGGGCAACTCCGTAGATAAGACATGAGAAAATCTGACCTAAGTTAGTGTGATATAGCTGTGATATTACTAACAAGCCGGGGCTTCGCACGGTTATGTATAGATAGATAGACATTTTATTTGAGTCATTTATTTATTATTATTTATTTATTTATTTTTATTATTTATTTATTTTATGACACATGTAAATTAACAACTGAATTATTACTATCAAATGAATTATATAATTATAAAAAATATTTTCGCTTCCCTTGCCCTAAAGACCTTTGACATATTTTTTCCTTATATATAGTTCATTTACAATTTTATTACATATATTTATAAGATATAATGTATTTTATAATCGCTTTTGCATTTTGTAATCACGATCGTAAAATGCATGTAACCAATTAATTTGACCCCCGCTATCTACAGGCCGAATGGATACACGGAACTGTATCTCAGGAAGTACTAAACCCATTTAGATAAAACGTACCTCAAGTAATAAGTTAGGCAATAGACATGTTATAGGGTTGCCGTCCGTCATTATTTCAGAATTACACCTGCTGCATTATTTCTGATTTATATTATTAATTTTCATTTGACTTTAAAAAATAAGTAGGCAATCGAATTTGATTATATTTTATTTTATATTTGTTACCTCATAATTCCTAATAAACCGATTTGGATAATTCTTTTTTTATCTGAAAGGAGCACTTTCAGATAAAAAAATAAATATTTTTTTAAAATAAATTTTTTTATTAAAATCATTCAATAATTTTTTTTTAATCAAAAAAACTTGTTTACCATAATTGAAAATGTTGTTTTTTTTTTTTTTGCAGTAACAATCTTAGTTTATAAATTATATTGTGTTAAAAATTGGCTTCAACCGAAACGGTTGTTTTTTTTTTATACCACAAGTTTGCCACCTGCCAACAAGCATATAATCCGTCTGATGGTAAACAAACACTGTAGCCTAGTTTTTAGATCTAGTTTGAGATTATTTTTTACCCTTATTAAGGAGGTAGCTAAGAATTTTTAAAATTAATCCCATATTTTCTTTAAATGATTTCAGCCATGTAAACACGAATGCGAACACGCCCTCCCTTAGTGGCCTTTTCCGACAACGACGGGAAATGAAGGGGTGGTCTCTTCTATGCCGGGACCACATGACCGGTTGCGTAATATGTCCAATATTTATTTATTATCTTGCAGGTCACGAAACGATATCTGAAGTGGACTTCGCGAAGATACTCCTCCGGTATACCTACCTTGATACTGACGAGTACGACATGTACCTCGACCGGCTGCTGGACCGTGTGAAGGATGAGAGGGGCATCACCTTCGACGAGTTCAAGACCTTCTGCCAGTTCCTGAACAACCTGGAGGACTTCACTATAGCCATGAGGATGTATACGCTGGCCGACCATCCTATATCTAAAGGTGAGTGTAGCAAACAACCTAATACTACCTCCAGGGGGGGAAAGGGAGTGTTAGTAATGGGGATTAGCAACCTGACTCGTTTTTGAGACTCGATGCTCTATCTATATAATCTAAGGAAAAAATAATACAAGGCACACACCTTATTTTTTAATTTATTGGTCCTATTACACAGTAAGGCCAATAAAAGCCAAAACAATATTTTTTAGAAATTTTGTCTGTATGTGTGTTCCGGCATCAAGCAAAATCTACTACACAAAATTGGATACGTTCACAGTTATGTTCCTGAAGATTTAACTTAAAATTTGGTCTATATTTCATCTCGATACACCATCTAAAACTGGTCATTAGTTTTCCTACTTCTAAAATCCACGCAAACCAAATAACGGAACAAAATCTAGTTTTAAAATTTTTATTTCCAGATGAATTCCACCGCGCCGTGAAGATCTGCACCGGAATCTCGCAGTCCGAACACCTAGTCACCACGGTGTTCGCCATATTCGACGCGGACGGGGACGGCCTGCTCAGTTACAAGGAGTTCATCGCCATCATGAAGGACAGACTCCACAGGGGCTTTAAGGTATCCACCTATCTGTCTGTTTAGCCCACGTTAACAACTTAAGCATCTCGAACGAGACCCTCTCGCGCATCAAATGTTACCAGAGGGAGACTTTGTACAAAAGTCGATTGCTTGGGTACCTCTGTCCCGTTCGTGTTTCAACCGTAAAGCAGTTGTGTTTACATGACTGTGTTTCGGTTTGAAGGGTGGGATATGACGTGAATTTACTGGGTACAGAAGAATAACACCTGAGTCCTCAGGAATGGCAACGCATGGAGGGTATCATGGGCGAAACAGTATATAATCTATTATGTCCATGGTACTGCTCATGTCTATAGGCGACGGTTACCACTTTCCATCAGGTGGGCCGTCAGCTTGTTTGCCATTCTAAGTTGTATAAAAACAAAATCAAATGTGTTCCGATTTGCGCTATTCCGAGTACCTCTCGTCACTTTATAAATATTATGTTTATATTTTTATTTGGAGCGATACCTTCTCGCCCGTTTGTATTTCATAGAGCTTAGTGTAAGTATATTTATTATATGTTCATTCGAATTTAGTGCGTGCGCCAGTTAACCTCATTTTAGAGAAAAACTCGCATTAAGTGGTGAACCCACTGCTGGGTATAGGCGTCTTTCTTCTCACGCCACTTATGACAGTCCTGTGCTATCCTCATCCACTGCTTCCCCGTTATCCGCGCTATGTCATCCAACCATCGGGTTGATGGTCCACCGACTGTTCTCTGTCCTTGTCTTGGGCACCATTTTGTCACGGCCTCGATCCACTATCTGTCGTCAAGTGAATAAGTATATCCTTTCAGATATAGAAAGACAGATTACAATTTATAAAAAAAAATATATAAAAAAAAACTTAATTTTCTAATTGTCATTGTATATTTTTATATATTAGGTACAATTAAGAGTTAAATAAATAAATGAATTAATAAAAAAGTTTCTTTCATTTACAGTCATACGCCAAGAACGAAGGTTGGGAAGCGTTCAAGTCATGCGTGAAACAAGAGATGAAGAGTGCTGTGTAAATGTAATTAAGGCTTTTTTTTTATCGCCAAAGTTTATTGTGTAATTACTTACTACTGGATAGTTCATTGTGTAATTAATTTATATGATAATTTATCATTTCTAATTAGCTCAAACATATCGTCGGCGTAAATGGAAAACTAAATAATTAAATTATATAATTAAATAATTAAATTGAGGCCTACAAAATCAAAGGCAGCTAGCTAAACGTTATTAAATCGATTTCATTGTCACTCTTTACTTAAATATTTTTCTTAATTAAAAGTTCTAATAGTTAAAATTCAAATTATTACTAGTATTCAAATTTTTTTTCAATCTAGTTTCAAATATAGAATATGTAACACCGAAATGTATACGTATTACGTATGTATAGTAAGTACCTACGCCGTGAGATCCGTCTAAACGTACAGCGCACGCGCCGACCGACCAATAGCAGCGCGCCTCTCGCGCTTCCAGAAATTTCGCGGCTAACGAACGAGAGAGTAGTAAGGCGATGAGTATTTATTATAGTACTGTTTCTTGTTAAGTTTTATTTTAAGACACACAATTTCATAATAAATAACGTGTTCCCCCGTTACAAATATAGTTCCATATCTTTGACAAAATATTAGTTTTCTTTTTTTAGTTTCCTTAAAATTTTACAGACTTGGATTTAGCTGTCTTTGATTTTATATTTTATAGGCCTCAATTAGACTAGTTGTATCCCATGGATTTGCACGCATGAATCACTATATAAAATATCTTATATATAACCTATCCGTGTACCAAAATTAATTCAATTCCGCTCAATCAATCAATCAAAATTTACTGGGTACAGAGGAATAACACCTGAGTCCTCAGTAATGGCAACGCATGGGGGGTATCATGGGCGAAACAGTACACTCTGTTATGTCCAGTCCATGGTGCTGCTCGTGTCTATAGGCGGTGGTTACCACTTTCCATCAGGTGGGTCGTCAGCTTGTTTGCCATTCTAAGTCGTATAAAAATATTTTTTTTCCAATTAATCTACTTACAAGCGGTATCGAAGCTTTAAGTTTCAGGAGAGATTTTGCCTCACTCTGCGTATTCTACTGCTTGTACAACGGACTGTGTTTAGAGGAATTGTTTAATATGATGCCCACAGCCATTTTCTACCATCGTATAGCTCGCCATCGACAGGGAGATCATCCCATACCTTAGGGCCTGAATGGTCGCGTACAGCGTGATTTCAGATATGTTTCCTCCCATGAACGCTCAGGTTATGGATAGAGCTCCCTGTCGAAGTTTTTTCAAGAAACTAAAACATGGGTTCCACAAAAAAGGGGTAAAGAGGTTTCTTCAAGGTCAGCAACGCGTATTACTATGAATATAGGCTACAGTAACCGCTTACCATCAGGTGGGCCGTATGCTTGTTTGCCACCTCAGTGGTAGAAAAAAAAATCTGTTTTATGAATCATCATAATTTAAAAATTATAATAATTTTTTGCTCGTGATATCAAATTGAAAAAAGGATTTAGAGAAATGACACGTCGGTATCGACCCCTATTCTTACAAATATACATATTAACTGTGTTTTTATTACTATGGGCAGTAAAATTATTATTAATTATGAAATTACATAATTATGATATAAAATTAAGGATAAAATAGTAAATCGCGCTTCTCTATAAACTACAAAAATTAAATTACTGTTTTCGCCATCTACGCCAACGAAATACGTCGTTTATAGTTGATTTTTCTCACAAATCTAATCTAAATTAAGATATTCATAACTTCCTTGCACTTTCCCTACCTCTCGTAGTTTAGAAATACATAAATAATATATTTAATGCACAAATAGTGAGATTTTTATGGTTGTTTATTTATTAATTTGCTATTAACATTGAGCTTGTGAAGGTCTCTGTACACTACCTTAGATAGAGTATTCATTATGTAAGAGCCGATCACAAATAAACGATCTAGTCTTATTTACCAGTGCATAGAGGCCTTTTTGATGCAGTGCTTGTGATTTTTAGTGTAAAAAAAAAATATTTATCAATTATAGTAGACTTACGATCTCATACAAAATCTGACGTAATGGCCTATTCATAAAAAAGCTGTTTGATAAACTTATTATAAAAAGTTTTTGTTTGTGTAACTTGTTATGTCCGTATCTTTAGTTTCTTTCAATATAACTGTATGAAAATGTAAAAGAAACGAACTGGCCTGACCACAAGCCAATATGCTATTGCCCAATAGCAATGCAAATAAAACGTCTATAATTTAGCTTTAAGGTTTAGATTTTTTTACCAATTTCATTTAAAGAAAATTTGGCTGTTTTTTATTAAATTCTATTGAAACAAAACATATATACAATCGCCACTGCTGATTCGTTATTAATATCGAATCGATACTTACGATTTGTCAAATCGATTATTAAGAACTCAACACAAAATAATTATTTAAAAATAAATCAACAATATAATTGTTTTATAAAACGAATCATAAATAATATCGATCGATTATAATTTATGGTAATGATTTATGACTTTATTAAATTATGATTTATGACCTTTTAAAGAAATAATAATACCACAGTGTAAGAAACAACCAGTGGTCGAACGTATATATTGTATAACTGATAGAAGAGAGTTCTTTAGACTGTGATAAATACCATAGAGAACTATATCGGTTTTTAATTAATAAAACATCTGGACATAAAATGTTATTTGTTATAAAAAAATCTATTAAGTTTTAATGGCATCGATATAAAATATAAAATGACTAATCGATTAATTCAACGAAATAACTAGCTAATATCTTTTGTGAAGAATGAACGTAGTCATGTGGTGCCATCTATGTTGATTTTTATTGGCGTCCTATAGCCGTACTACCAAATTACATTTTAATATCTCTTATAATAATTGTTACTTAAACGTTCGCTAGTCATTTTTATGTGTACAAATATAATTTGTTACTTTATAGTTACCAAGAATTTCGAATAAACTTATAACTATTTGTATGATACAATCATTCATGTCTCTATTTAAATAAATATTCAAAATGGATTTATTCTTGTTTTCTTTCACTAATATCCTATTGGAGGTTTTTTTAAGGTATTAAAATAGTGTCCCCGCCGGCGCTATAAATATATACTGACGAGGTACCAATGAGAGATGATAGGTAAAGATGATAGCAGGTACATTAGCTCATCATAACAAATGCCACAAGAATTACTACGGTGAGTTGGGGGGAAAGGGATTGTTAGTGGTGGAGACTGAGAATCGCATTGCTAGCCATATACACAACCAGGTCGACCTCCTCGCGGTTCTCCGGTGCTCCGCCAGCGTATCCCGTTAGCGCAGGCGGGGTTACCATTCCATTTTCACCCATAAATATAAACCATTAAGGCGCCATAAGGTAACAGAGATCACTTTCATATTTACATATATATTATTATCCGTTTCCCGCGGCGTTACCCACTTCTATGTTCCCATATATCATTCCCATTGGAACCCTTCATGTATCCGGTATTTTATTCTATTATATACTAAAATAATAATTTATATTCCTAATACCTTCATAAAGTTTCAGCCACTTTAACTCATCTGTTATAACATTATATGTGTTTCTTTAGATTGATATAACTTTATTTATGAACCGATTGAAATAAAACTAACACTAAATATCACTAACAAACTGCCATGCATTGAACGCAAAATCACATTCAAATCGGTTAAACCGTTTCTGCGATTAGCGTGCACAAACGAACAGACAAACAGAAAAAATCTAAAAATCATCGGTTTTGAATTCTATTGCGTTCATAAAGCTCTCCTATGATAGTTTCTCTTATATATCTTCCATGTACAGACAGCGACCAGTTACGATTTTATTATATGTATTGATGATTAGTAAGGATTAACAAAGGAATAAATAATAACAAGATTTTCGAGTTCAAAATACTGTATTTATATTATTCTCCCAAAAAATAAATAACATCGTCTCGTTTTACAATTTCAAAGATACTATAAACGCGATAGTACGTTTAATTGTTAATTAGCTAAACGTTATATTACCTTCTATTGAGCCTAGAACATTCTATTGTGACGCGGACGGAAAATAACACATGAAAAAAGCGAATTAAGCAGTTAATACAATTTTAAACTCAGCACGTAATAACTAAGAGGAAGGGATAGTAGGCAGGGGTAATATGGATACCGATGGGGGAAAGGGATTGTTAGTAATGGGGTCTAATAACCCCATTACTAGCAATACGAGTATACCCTCTCAGGTTGACCTCCACGCGGTTTCCCCTGGAAACCATCATGTTTAATTCTTGTCGAATTCATCATGGTGGGCCACCTGACCTGCATTCATTCTCACCTATCATCTTCCACTGGTGCCCCGTTAGCGTCAACCGATAGCGCAGGCGGGGTTACCATTCCATTTTCACCTATTAAAAAAAAATATGGATACCGATCCAATATTGGGTTTCTCTAGACATTAGATGGCGGGAAAAAGGTCTTCACCCATTTCGATATCACCCATATCAGTCGGATATCTATTTTCAAATATATATAATTTTTTGACGAACAGTCTTTTAACATATTCGTTATTGGACCAATATATAGTTATTGTAACTAAAATATATAGATAATGCCATATATTACCAACTCCTATGTAATGAGGGCACTAAATCCTATTACTAAGAATATACTGTATACAGTACACAGATCGACATCCACGCGGTCCCCTCTGGACACCATCCAGGTTAATTCGTGGTAAATTCTTCACAATAAGACTAACAGACTTCATCAGACATGGTTCCTTCCTCCACTGGTGCCCCGCTGTCGACACCGTTTACATAAACTAGTGCATCATCCATCCTTTATGCATTAAAAAAGAAACTTATAATAACTTAATAAATTAAGATGTTTTTTCCAAACAAAAACAAACTTGAAAAACAGACAAGTGCGTTTTCAACGAAACTAAAACATTAGACATAGAATTGTCACCTTATTAATTAAAAAAATAAATATATTCACGACTAATCCGAGATAGGGTAGATAGAGGCAGATTTACTGTTACATTCCATATTTATATGAATATGCAAATTAAGGCAAATTATAAAAATATAAAATTATAAATAATATTATTATCACGACAATAACTGTCATAAAACACTTCTTCTATCTATGTGAGTTGGAATAACAAACAAGCTGACGGCCCGCCCGATGGAAAGCGACAGCCGTCGCTTATAAACACGAGCCGCACCTTGGCAGTCACAGAATACACTATGACGCCCACAATACATTCATGGGTCGTCATTCCTGAGGGCTACGGTGTTATTGCCTCCGTACCCTGTATTAGTTTAGATCCTACATACTTGATAATAATTCTATAGACAGATTTCTTTTATTAAATTTAATTTAATTTCTAATTTTACTAACATTTAAAAGTACGTAATGAATCAATATTCGATGATTGAAGTAATGATTGTAATGATTAACTAAAAATATTAAGTTCATATGTACAAATGTTTGTACAATGTTGTTGCCAGTGACAAGTCGGTACAACTACTGATTAGCAATATATCTTGTCAGGTCGACCTCCACGTGGTCCTCCCTGGAAACCATCATGCTGAATTCCATGTATATTCATCACGATGGGCTAACTGACCAGCCTTTTCATTCTCACCTGTCACCCCTCACTGATGGCCCGCCAGCGCATATCGTTAACGCAAGTGGGGTAACCATTCCATTATCATCAATTAAAAAAAAAAACTATTGACTACATGTAATACATGATTACAGTATAAATAAGTAAAAAGTATAATTTATTCCAATACAACTAAATGGAAAGATAACAAAATTTCGTTCGGAAATTATAGCAGAAACACTTTCAAAATTGAAATTAGTAATAATTTGTAAAATCCAATTAATTATTCGTATTTTTTGTGCTCCTATTACAAATTAGCAGACTGTCTTATGGCTGGCTTAATTATTTGGTTTTTCTTTATAACACACGAAACAAACCAGCATGCCGCTCACCTGATGGTAACAGAATGTGTGAGTGTACATGAATACAACTGTTTGTATTATAAAGTGAGCAATAGACAGAGATAGACAATGAATGAATGACTCACATACACTCAGACATCTGTACATCTTTATTATGTAGTAAGTGAGAGAATCAATGAGTGAGTGCACATTAGCACAACTGTTTTTAGTGTAATATAAGGTTTCAAATATCTCCCTTCCGCCTTTTTGTCTTTTGAATTTCGCGGCTATGTACAAAGCGATACAGAGCTCGTATCTGGCAATACTATAAATATAAGCAGGCGATCGACCAGAAGCGTCCAGAATTGGCCAACAGGAAGGGTGTAGTGTTCCACCAGGACAACGCCAGACCACACACTTCGTTGATGACTCGTCAGAAACTACGGGAGCTCGGGAAGTTTTATCGCATCCATCATATAGCTCGGACATAGCGCTAAGTGATTACCACCTGTTCCTGTCCATGGCGAACGCCCTTGGTGATGTAAAGTTGAACTCAAAGAGGCTTGTGAAAAGTGGTAGTCCGAATTCTTTGCAAATAAGGAGGGGGGCTTCTATGAGAGGGATATTATGAAGTTGCCGTCTAGATGGAAACAGATTATCGAACAAAACGGCGCATATTTGAACTAAATCCGATCACTGTAACACTTTTTATGAAGCATTGAATAAAGAGCAAAGAAGCGGAAGGGAAATATACGATAACCTTATATGAATAATATAAGGTACCTTATATGAGTACTCACTCACACATACACTCAGACATCAGTACATCTGTGTTATGTAGTGAGTGAAAGTATAAATGTGTGAGTGCACATTAGTACAACTGTCTGTATTATAAAGTGAGTAACGGAGTGAGTTACCCAATGATTGAGTGCATACTCACTAACATATACACTTGTACATGATTACATCTATCTGTATTATGAAGTGGGTGACGGAATGAATGAGCGACAGTATTCAGCAGCCGGGCATGGTGAATCCAGTGATATTCATGTCCTCCCCGTGATCGGTGGTGGTTGTGAGCCGGTGGCGAAGTGCGAACGTCGCTATCACGCGCGCCACCTGGTGACATAAAAATATCCTATATCGCTAAACCATATGAGACAAACATATACAGTTCATTACAAAAATATGACATTTAAAGAGAGTTAAGTACCTATATAGTAATAATAAACTCTTTATTGCGCACAGTAGAGATGTATACAAGGAGTATTTATACAGAATGTGCATATACAAAAGGCGGCCTTATCGCTAAAAGCAATCTCTTACAGACAACCTGGCATAAATAGTAAATAAATATAGAGAGAAAGGTAGATGGCGCAAGCCAGACACAGTGAATACAAAAAGTAACCTAATAATATATATTCATATTATCCTATTTTTTAAATTATTTAAATTAAAATAACACAAAATTACATAAACATACATATATAATAATACATAAATATATAAATATACTAAATATCATCAAGGCAAATAATGATCGAGAGATGGGCAGCAGCTTCCCTTTTAATACATCTCTAAGGCCTAACTGTGATTGCCAACTTGCTTGTCAAGCGTGGTAAATACTAGCAAAACCACCCAATGTTGGGTGTTATATTTTTATAGTTTTTTTTTAATAATAGATGGTTTATTTAATTATTGCAGACCCCTTATTCATTACTCAGACAGCCATTATTATGCAATACTATTAAACAACCAATCAGCGTCCACCTCTAGTGATGTCCCATACACACTAGTGAGGTGATCTTACAACAGATGGAGGCCTATACTCAGTACTGTACAATTAATGGCTGATGATGGTATATTTTGTTAGGGAAGCAAATAAGAATGCGCTCTAACTGACGAGAAGTAGCAAGGTCTCTAATGAAGTTATGAAACACGAGAAGAGGGGGAGGGGTATGAGTGCGTTACCGCCCATAAGAGCGTTCGTAACAAAGTCTGACAACGTCTCAATTTACAAAAACAATTGAAGAACTTTTAACAAAAATCCAAATTATTAGTGATGGCCTAATATTATTGCAAATTTAATACTTTTTAAATAATTTAATAAAAAAGAACACTTTTTAAATAATCAAATTGAAATATAGAAATTTTACCCGCAACTTCATTGACATAACTAAGATATATTGAATGACCAAATACCAAATTCGTTACGTCAAATTGGTTGAGCCATTATGTCACCAAGAGGTAACAAACTCAACTTCACATTTATAATATTAGTAAGGATTTGTAATCAAAATATAGTATTTTATTTACCTCTCCGGGCGAATCTTCGTGCACCGCGTGGCCACACCTTGATAATACTTGCATTTGGAATTTACCTGTAGACACGTTCAAATTAATATTAAATACATTGATATGAATTATTAATATTGAAATTTACCCGATAGGGTATTTTTTTAATGGACAATAATGGAATGGTAACTCCGCCTGCGCTAACGGTATACGCTGACGGGGCACCAGTGAGGGATGCTAGGTGAGAATATAAAAGGCAGGTAGCCCATCGTGATGAATACATCTGGAATTCAGCATGACGGTTTCCAGGGGGGACCACGTGGAGGTTAACCTGGTTGGGTATATTGCTAGCAATGGGACTGGTAGTTCGCATTACTAACAATCCCTTTCCCCCACCCGATAGGGTGTATTGCTAGCAATGTGACTTTTACATCCCCATTACTAATAATCCCTTTCTCCCCCTCAATAGATAAATAGATCAATAGAAGAGTATCTATCTATCTAGATACTCTCTATTATTCCCTTCATAAGATTACAATAGTAAACTTATTATAAATACAAAATATATACTCAATATTGCAGTTTCCTTGACTTGGGAGACCTACCTTGCATCTGGCCCACCACCAGCTCGGTGTCGAGGCCATCGAGCGCGGCGAGTAGCAGCAGGCGAGGTGCTGGTGCTCCCAGGAAGGCGGCGGACAGTCCGCGGAACCAGCCCGCCCAGTGCCGCTCAGTGGCAGACAAGTCGATACGCCATTTGTACCTGTGGTCATTACACAAACCCTATTAAGACCTTATAATAAATAACATCCTTTGACGACCCCACCTGATATGACCTTCCAATAGTCACGGGTTCAATCCCCGCAAAATACAAACAAATGTATTAACAAATATCCTGTTTGTATAGGTCATGTATGTACAAAAAATATTTCTTAAATATTGGAGGGAGAAGTTTTAAAATTTTTTATGGTAACAAATTTTAGAAGGTTCTACTTCCATAATGTAAATAAATGCCCATTCGTTTAATACATTATACATCTTATTTGATTGCCACATATAATACATCTCAGCCATTGTCTATCCACTGCTGAACATAGGCCTCCCCCATAGACTACCATAAGGATCAATGCTGAACCACCTACATCCACTGACTCCCTGCAATAAATTTGAGGTCGTGACTCCATCTAGTGGGAAGTCTTTTATGGGTGAATAATGGTATGGTAATCCCGGTTGCGCTAACGGGATACGCTGGCGGAGAACCAGTGAAGGGTGATAGATGAGAATGAAAACAAGCCTGTTAGCCCATCATGATGAATTCATCAGGAATTAACCATGATAGTTTCCAGGGGGACCACGAGGAGATCAACCTGGTTGGGTATATTGCTAGCAATGGGACTCTCAGTCTCCATTACTAACAATCCCTTTCCCCCCTTCTAGTTGGGAGTCGACCTACACTACAGTCACCACTGAATATTCTTTCTACCCCATTGATTGTCAATTCTTCGAACTATGTGATATATGGTTATAAAATAGAATACCCCTTCCCTTCCCATGGGTGTCATCTATCTATCTATCTATATATATAAATACTTATATATAAATATAGATATAAATGAAAAATACTAACTTCATAGATGAGTTTCCATCTCCAACTGCGGCCGGTCGCACGAACCCATCACTCGGGGGCGGCGGTTCTTCACTGCTCTCATCATCCTCCTCAGCGATGGAGTCAGCTCGAGGGGTGTGCCTCGTGGGCTCGGGGCCTGACGGGTTGCTGTCCGGTACGTATGAATCTACTTCGTTGATGGCCAGCTCACCTGTCTGACAGCTAGAATGGAGAGATTAAGATATGTCATTAAACATATAATATATATACAATCATAGATTAAGAATGATCCTAATAGATGACATTCAACGACAGTTATAGTTGAAATGAGCCATAATTATAAGTAAAATATGGAAGTGTGAGCAAGATCAGATATGTTTTTTTCTTGCTTTGCATGTACTTTTATTTTTGGACGAATCCAATTACACCAATACAAAACTAATTTAAATATTAGTGTATTTGATCAGTGTCTTTCAAGCTGAGTTTGGGCTGAGATGTTTAACATCTTTATGAATGACAGAGTAAGCTATTATTATCCCTGTTTATAATTAGACACTTAATTCTTTCTGCCTGTCCCATAGGACACCTGGCAAAACAAAACCTTACAACTAGACTGAATATAATTTAAAAATCTTTCGTATAAAATTGACTTAAAATGACCATTGTATACTTATCAGTTCATTAAAGTCTTCTTGCTATCATTATAAATGTAAAAGTGAATTTGTTTGTTGCCTCTTAGCTATTTAATGGCTTAACCAATCACGATGAAATTTAGTACATACATACTGTATGTAATCAAAAAGGACATAGACTGCTTTTCATTCTGGTCAGTTTTTTTTTTATACAACTTAGAATGGCAAACAAGCTCTAGTGAACATATTCCGGTCACAAGAATAAAGCAGCGGCTAAAAGCAACTTACTTTACAATTTGACTAGGCATAGACACTCGTGCTGAGTCAACATTCCTCACTTGACCACTCCTCACACTGAAAAAAAAAATATAACAATGAAATCAACATTTAATCATAGAGTAACTTTTTTTTCCTAACGATAAACTATATGAAGGACTATATTCATAACTTTGTAAAAGTATAGTATAGTATGCAGATAAACTGCAAAGCAGCTTCGCTGCACTAAGAATATGTATTGTTTATGTAACTGTGATTATGTGATTTAAGTGATAGTGTATGACACCCTTTAAAGAACTATATTAATCTATGGTTTGTAATCTAGCATAGGCAATAGACACATACCTAGAAAATAATTAAAGATAGTACTGCTGCACACTCATATTTTTATTTAATTAATATAAATACATATATAATCTAAATAATACAGTAACTGTTTACTAGAAATAAATTAAATAATACTAAATATTTTTTTTAAATTGAATCTGTCTTGGTTCTATTATTTTCAAATAATGAGAAGCTTCATCTAAGGCGCGGTTACCATAAATGAGGTTCAGAATACAATTCTCGAATGAATCAATTTAAAAATGAGCTGTACTGTTTTTTTTTTTTCATCCAACTTAAGAAATTTACTCCTAGCCAATATTCATAAAAAATAAAACCTATTTTAAATATTACACTGTTTTGTCACGTTCACTCAACTTGGGGATTTAACACAAAAGACAGACAGAACAGTTCAATAGCCAAAATAGGTTAAGGAATAAGGTGGTGTCGTTATAAATCAAGTACATTTTAAAAAATTAATAACTGATTTTTTTTTATACAACTCAGAATGGCAAACAAGCTGACAGCCCACCTGATGGAAAGTGGTAACCGTTGCCTATAGACATGAGCAGTACCATGGATATAACAGAGTATACAGTTTCGCCCATGATACCCCCCATGCGTTGCCATTCCTGAGGACTCAGGTGTTATTCCTCTGTACCCAGTACATTCACGCCATATCCCACCCTTCAAACTGAAACACAGCCATGCAAACACAACTGCTGCTTTATTCTCTTGTAAACTTTTGTAAATGTTAAGCGATTCCTCACCATTTTTTTCTGTAAGCTAGCATGACGGGCGAGTCTAATTTTTTTTTATTATAAGGGTTTTCTTTCAACTGATATGAAGTGTTTTTGTCAATAATAAAGTTAATAATACTTACCACCATTCAATAGCATGTTCAATACTCTTAAAATGTGTGGGTCTCCCTCGTAAGAAGCTTTGCATGCTAGCTAAAGCCTCCATTGCGGTTCCTGCAATAATTATGTGGTAAAACAACTTCATGTACACGAAATTTGCTTACATTTTTTTTTAACATTTCATCAATAATCAATTACTTAGGCGCATCTATATGATAGTTCAAAAATTATTTTATGATTTCCACTTGAGAAACTTGTTCAATTTCATTAATACTTTTTTTTCTGCTTAAAACGACAGTGCTTGGCTTTGTTTCGGTTTGGACAATGGAATATAACAGGGGAAAACACGTATATAGAGGTGTGACACCATAGTTTTCAGAAATGGCAATGCATGAAGGTTACCATGGAAATCACAGAACATTCTTAGCTTACTACTGAAATAATATATGAATAATATTTATAATTAAAATTAAAAGCATGTACCTATCTCATTTCAATAATGGTTAAACATTTGCACGCCTTCTCAGAGGCAGAATGTATTAGCAAAATAAATCCATTCATTTCACTGGGTTTCGACTTTGGCAATAATAACAAACCTTTTTTACATAAGTAAAAAAGGTGCTAATGGGGGGAATGGAATTTTTGGTAATGGGCTCTAACAGCCCCATTGCTAACAATATACCCTATCAAGTTCACCTCCACACATTTCACTGTGGAAAACAACTGCTTTCATCTTTACCTATCATCTCTCACTGGTGCCCCACCAGCATATACCAATAACGCAGGCGGGGTTACCATTTCATTTTCACCCATTAAAAAAAAAAGGACTGTACTGTATGATGCTATCACCACTACCACCATCGCCGATCGTACGCACACCTGAACAAACAGTGCGCTGGTCGCTCAGTGCTGCTCGCGAGACAGTCGTGAACCGCGCTCATGAACAAGGCCAAGGGCAAAACTAGTCAGACATCCCCGAATTTAAAATGCGTATAAACAGACATAAATCTTTACAATACAATATGACCCACGATAGTTATCATTTAACAAGGGTAAAAAACGTTAAATAGGTTAAAAAAAAGTACCTTCGACGACGTCGATGACAGCCAGCCCTTGCACGCAGGGCTGCAAGGACGGCAAGTGTGCCACCCGGACAGCAATAGCTCCGCCCATTGAATGCCCCAGCAGAATCAGGGACGGTAGGTCCTCACAAAACAACTTCTGCAGTACTTGTTCCACGTCCCTGGAATTGATATAATGGCTTTTTTTTTATACAACTTAAAATGGCAAACAAGCTGACAGCCCACCTCATGGAAAGTGGTAACCGTTGCCTATAGACATGAGCAGTACCATGGATATAACAGAATATACTGTTTCGCCCATGATACCCTCCATGCGTTGCCATTACTGAGGACTCAGGTGGTATTCCTCTGTACCCAGTAAATTTTTAATAATTTTGATAAACTATTCTATACTAGCTTTTACCCAATACTTCGTTCATGTGGATTTTAGAAATAGAAGAAACAATTAAATACACAATCATCAAGAAGTAGTGACTTCTTGATGATGTATAAAGTGTAAACATACACCAGATTTTAAGTTACACCCTTAGGAACACTATTGTTGAAAACAGCATCCAATTTAGTAAGTACTTTTTGTGTTACACTGGAACAAACATACAGATAGACAAGCAGACGATATCTCAGAAATTTTTTGTTTTTTGTTTCAATTGATCTTAATAGAATTAAAGACCATATTACAAAATAAAAATAAAATAAAATAAATCTTAAATATCTTCCAAATACAGACATTATCTAGTTACAATTTTATTATATTAAAATATTTTTTATTTATTTATTTATTATGTGTTATTTATTATAACATAAAAAATAAGAAATATTTTAATTGATGACCTTCTTCAAATATTTTTTATGATTATGACTTTTAATTTATTTACCTGACTAATGTGTCTATACTTAAATCTTCAGGATCTTTGGCTTTGGTTTCACCATGTCCTCTTATATCCATTGATATGACCTGGCAGTGGACCATACTAGTCACTTCCTCCTGCAACAGAAGGAACAGAATTAATTCAAGTGCTAATTAACTATAGAACATTATTAAAGTTGAGTTTAGTTTTTTTTTTTTATTTGAACTATGTACTATATACATATATGATATAAAATAAATAAGTAAACAAATAAAATTAACATTTATTTATTAAATCCTCAGAGATGGTAACAAATGTAGAATCTAGAAATATCAGTAAGTTTTTTTAATGGGTGATAATGCAATGGTAACCCCCCGTGTGCCAACGTTATACACTGGTGAGGCACCAGTGAGGGATAACAAAGGAAAATGAAAAGACAGGTCTGTCAGCCCACTGTGATGAATACACCTGGAATTTTGCATGATGGTTTCCGAGGAAGACCACATGGAGGTCGATTTGGAAGGGTGTATTAGCAATGGGAGTAGTACACATTGTTAACAATGAATATAAAAATATATTCTGTACTGTCCATGTTTGTGGCATACCTACAGAATATACCTGTGGTAATGTTTACCACTTTCCAATAGGGGTACCAGCAGCTTATTTGCATTTCTTAATTTTATTAAAAAAAATTACACTTCTAACCAGAGGGAGACTTTGTACAAAAGGCAGTTGCTTGGCCACCTCTGTGCCATTCATGTTTCTACTGTGAATCAGTTGTGTTTACATGGCTGTGTTTCAGTTTGAAGGGTGAGATATGGCAGTGTATTTACAGGGTACAGAGGAATAAGACCTGACTCCTAAGGAATGGTAATGCATGGTGGGTATCATGATTATACAACAATAAATTATATGAACAATATACTCTGTTATGTCCATGATTACTGCTCATGTCTATATGTGATGGTTACCACTTTCTATCTGGTGGGTCGTCAGCTTATTTGCATTTCTATATTATATAAAAAAAAATTACACTCACAGCAAACAGAGCCCAGCTCAATCCTGAATAACCTCCTCCATGTAATGTGATAATCCTCGGCCGGCTGGGATGATCAGGTTCCGGTGATAAGTACACTCTGAATACACCACCCTCTGTTTCCACATCTAAGTACCTCTCGAAATATTTTTTCCAGGATATGGGAGTGTAATCTTTACGACGTCCTCCACCGAATGGAGCTAATCTGTAATATATATATACATATATATAACATGTAATATAATGTAACAGGAGCTAGCACTAATAAAATATACCACTCTTCCAATGGCTTTCATTGTAATTAACAGTATCATGAATCTACATCCAGCTTTGGACATATTCATTTGTGAACTTATTGAATTTCACAAAAAAGCAATACATTATTCAGAAAGTGTAATTATTGGTTGTTATCATCATCATTTCAGCCATTACCCGTCCACTGCTGGGCATAGGCCTCCCCCATAAACTGCCATAAGGAACGGTCCTGATCCACCTGCATCCACTGACTCCCTATGATGCATTTGAGGTTTTTTTTAATGGATGATAATGAAATGGTAACCCAGTCTGCACTAATGGTATATACAGGCGGAGTACCAGTGAGGGATGATAGGTGAGAATGAAAAAGCAGGTCAGTTAGCCCAAAGTGATGAATACATCTGGAATTCAGCATGATGGTTTCCAGAGGGATTACGAGGGGGTCGACCTGGTTGGATATATTGCTAGCAATAGGGCCCTTAGTCTATTACTAACAATCTCTGCTCCCGTGAATTTGAGGTTGTCACTTCATCTAGTGGAAGTCATCCTATACTGCGTTTGCCCGTACGGGGTCGCAGCATATTATTAGAGAATCTTATTTATAAGCAACTAATAAGTTGTTTGAAAAATATCTTGTAATTTATGTGACATACATGGTAATGTAAATGAAACCTATAGATCAGATACAATTAGCTATAAACTAATGAACTAATTATTAATATTTTTTTACTGATAACAACTTGACAAAATATTGTTTCAAATTTTAAATACACAATCTCACTTCGATATGCCAGAAGTTTTAGGGCATCTAGGTGGCAATTTATTTTTCAATATACTCTTCTGTAAAGCTGACATTTTATTTAACTTTCACTGATATTCGTGCACGTAAAACTATTTCTATTTTTCTATTTGCAAACAAAAACATTATTTATAACCAAAATATTCGACGACATTTTGTCAAATTAGATGTAGTAGCGACGCAAAGAATGTTCTTTAAAAACCAGTAAATATATTCGATTTAATGGGATAAATGTAAATCGATTTGAAACTGAAGTGAATGTCATCGAATAAGTATGTAGATTCTTTACTTATCTAACACGTTCATTACATTGTCAAACTTGATGACATGGAGTAGTGTTATTGTCATGATTGTCATTGTACTGTAGTATAAAACAAATTTATATTTAATTAATTTGTATTTGAAATGTAAATTACTTTCTTTCTCGATAAAAGACATAACGTAGCTTTATTTTTAGTACACTGGTGCCTATTAATAAATACACAGCAAACTTCTTAATCAGTAGCTATGGACTTCTCGAAGATATGTCGTATTTGTCTTGATTCAAACAAACAAACATTTGATCTTTTCACTAGTTTTTATGCTAAAAGGAACACCTTTTACAGCGATATGTTAACTGAATGCACAAAATTAAAGGTTAATATTTACATATAACGTAAGTAAAATTATGATGTAATTTATCTATTTTATTAAATATTACTCAATGTATTTTTAGCCTCATGAAAAGGATGGATTACCACGACAAATATGCAAAGAGTGTACAAGACAACTCAAACGATCGTATGCATTCAATATACAATGTGAAAATAGTGAAAAGGAATTAAAAAATCATATGTTGACAAAACAAGTTGGTGAATCTAAAAGTTTGCCAGACAACTGTGATGAAACAAATGATAGGAAAATGAAAAATGAGGAAATAAAACATGAGGTGAAATATGAACTTAATAGTGATATTGAAAACAATACTCATAACTCTAATGTAACTAGAGATAATGAAAAAAATAATGACATTAAAAGTGGTGAGTATAAATTCAGTTTTAAATTATTTGTCTATGTTTATTATTTTTCTTTTTAATGATTTCTTTCAACAATTTAATAACAATGGTTCCATATTGGACTATTAAAATTAATAGATTTATTTATATATTACAATTTATTATGTTACTTTTTTATAGATTTCTGATTAGTGATATTCTCAATAAATAATAATTTATGTAATAATAATGTCCTCAGGAATGGCAACACATATAGCATTAAAAGAAATAGTTGCATATTGAAAAAAAAAAAAAAAAAAAAAATTAAAGTCTAAAAATGTATTTAGTAAAATTTATATATACCACCGTCCAACGATGCCATTTACAATGTATTTTCTCAATTATTAACTTCTCACAATGGATTACAAAGTCCTAATAATTCAGTGGAACTGTCGTAGCATAACAAACAAGAAATCAGACTTATTTTATTTGATTAATAAATATAATCCTTTTATAATAGCTCTCCAAGAGACTTGGTTAAAGCCAGGATATCCTTTTAGGATTTCAGGCTTTACAAGTCTCCGTGATGATAGAGCTGACGGATATGGCGGTGTTGCCATATTGGTCAAAAACTCCCTTCCTTTTTCTTCTTTTTCGCTTCCTGTATATAGCGGCATTAATGCAGCTGCTATAATTATAAATGGTATCTGTTTTGTTACTTTATATATTCCTGATCCTACATGCCAAATATATTCACAACTAGAACAATTATTTTCAATTTTACCTAAACCTTTTCTCGTAATGGGCGATTTTAATGCTCAACACCAATCGTGGGGCAGTTCTACTTCTAATTTTTATGGTGGAAAACTCCTGACGATAATTGACACTTACAACTTATGTATTATTAACTCAGATGTACCAACACGTAGAACTGCACCGAATGAAGGGTTTAGTGCTCCTGACATTTCAATATGTTCTTCTGATTTAGCTTCTTCACTGTCGTGGTATCCTCATTCCTCTACTTTCGGAAGCGATCACTTTCCCCTCATTCTTTCTTTTCCAATTTCCATTCCCTCAAGTCGAAAGAGTGGTCCTCGGCTTAAATATAATTTATCAAATGTAGACTGGAATATTTACAAACAATATTTAGATAATAAAATATCGGAGTTACCTATTGTTTACCATGGAAATGAACATCAATGTTGTAATGACTTGATGATAAATATGAAGGAGGTTGCTGATTTATTATTTCCTGTTAAAAATAGTGCTTCAGGGAAAATTCCCTCGCCACCTTGGTGGGACAAAGATTGTACGGAAGCAATTAAAAATCGTAAAGAGGCTGAAAAAAATTATAATAATTACATGACACCAGAAAATTTTGAAATTTACACCGCAGTTTCACGTTCTACTCGAAAACTACTGAAAAAAAAGAAATTAGAAGGCTGGAGAAGATTTTGTTCTTCTATCTGTCCAGAAGTTAATTCATCAGTCGTTTGGAATAATATTAAAAGATTCAGATCTGCCTTTAGTGATCATACATCACGTTCTGCACTCGATTTAACTTTAGCGAATAAATTTTTAGATCGTCTTGCTCCTAGTTATGTGCCGGAATGCCTTTACAATATTTCTCTATCCGTCTCTGACGAATTATTCGAACTTGACTCTCCTTTTACTCTAGTAGAACTTAAAGGTGTTCTAGCTTCTATTAAAGACTCTGCACCGGGAGAAGACGGTGTACCGTATTCCTTTTTTAAAAATGCTAGCGATGCGACATTAATTTACTTTTTAAATATAATTAATTCCATAATTATTTCGGGAAATATACCTACTTCATGGAAGTCTCAGATTATTATACCATTTCTAAAGCCTCATAAACCACCTTCTGAACCATCTTCATACCGTCCTGTTGCACTTTCCTCTGTCTTACTAAAGCTAGCTGAACATTTAGTGAAAAACCGTCTAGAATGGTTTTTAGAAAGTAATAACTTACTATCCCCGAACCAGTTTGGTTTTAGGAAAGGTAAGAGCACCTTAGATAATGTGAGCATTCTTATTTCAGATATTCATATAGCTTTCTCACAAAATTTGTCAATCCTCTCAGCCTTTTTAGATATAAATTCTGCCTATGATAATGTAATAATTTCTATTTTAAAAACTAAATTACAAGCTCTAAATGTACCGGTAATGCTTTCTAATTTCATTATTAATATTTTATCAGAAAGAACAATATATATGAATTTAGATGAAGATACCAAATTATCTAGAACAGTATGGAAAGGCCTTCCACAAGGATCTGTTCTCAGTCCAATCTTATTTAACATATACACATACGATCTAGAATTATTCCTTGATAAATCCGTCAAAATTTTACAATATGCTGATGATCTTTTATTATATTTTATTGCGAAGTCCATAGAATCTGCTTCTGCCAAATTATCTGATTCATTAGATTTGTTAAAAACGTGGTTAGATGCAAATGGTCTTAATCTTTCTGTAACCAAGAGTAGTGTAGTTTTGTTTTCAAGAATGAGATCACCGCAACAAATTAAGGTGCTTTATGATAACTCATACATTCCTATAAAGACTGAAATTAAATTTTTAGGTATCGTGCTAGATAATAAATTAACAGGTCTGTCCCACTGTAATTATATTTCTACGAAATGTGAGCGTAACCTCAACATTCTTAGGTGCCTTGCTGGAGTTTGGTGGGGAGCACATCCCGTTTCACTAAAACTTGCTTATAATGGTCTTATAAGGAGTGTCATTGATTATGGAACTTTTTTGTTAGCTCCAGGAAGTTCATTTGCTTTTAAGAAATTGGATTTAATTCAATCAAAGGCCTTGAGGATTATCTCTGGAGCAATGAAATCAAGTCCAATCAATGCTTTACAGCTCGAAGTCGGTGATCCACCTTTGGTTTTAAGAAGGCAATATCTATCTGATCGCTTCTTTTTTCGTTGTTTACAATTATCTGATCCTCCGCTTATTCAAAAGTTATCTCAACTACATATCTTTATTTCGTCTTCATCTTATTGGAAACATAAAAAACCTCCATGTTTAATACAAAGTTATGAAAAATATAAATCCATAGAATCTCCCACTTTTACATCGTCCTGTTTTCCCATTTATAAATGCTCATATCAATCTTTAGTTTTATCTCCTAATATTAAATATGATTTTGGGTTATTAAAAAATGATTCAGAATTGAATGCCAAATTTATGTTTATAACTGACATTGAATGGAATGAATGGCACTACATCTTTACTGATGCATCAAAACCAGACAATAGCGGTTGTGTAGGTGTGGGTGTGTTTCATTCACAATTTAATATCGTTCAAAAAATTAAACTTCCACCGGAGTCTTCAGTTTTTACCGGGGAATGTTATGGTATTTTAAAAGCTGTAGAATATATACTTTTAATGAAATTACATAAGGCAATAGTTTTCACTGACTCTATGAGCTCTTTGCAAGCTCTAGCCAAATATCCGTTTAAATCAAAACCAGTTTATCCCATTATTTGTGACATAAGACAAAGTCTTTATCTTTGCATGTTGAGAGGTTATTCCGTTTCTTTTGCCTGGTTACCAGGACACAGTGGTATTAGCGGCAATGACAAAGCTGACCTTATTGCAAGAGAGGCTGTAACTTGTGGTGATATGTATCCGTATCATAATTACTGTAGTGACCTAGCTTGTCTCCCAAAAATATATTTAAGGTATGCCTGGAAGGAATATTGGGAAAAAACAAGTACAATAAAAGGAAGATTTTATCGCCTTATACAACCCGATATTCCTTTCAAACCATGGTTTTGTAAATTAAAGCTTGGAAAGACCGCAACAACTATTATAACTCGTATGCGTCTAGGTCACGTATGCACACCTTCTCATTTATACAAGCTTGGTATTGTACAAAGTTCGTCGTGTAATTGCGGTGCTGAAGTGGCGGACTTGAATCATATATTCTTCTCATGTTCTAAATTTGACCACACCTCCCTTTTTAATCATCTCCGATCCATCCGTGTTCCATTCCCAACTTCTATTCTTACTCTACTTTCTTCCAATGATCCTATTATCTATAAAATACTATCTTCATATATATATGATAACAATATTAAGATTTAGTTATATTACATGAATACATTTATAGTTGCATCAATTGCTTTTCCTATATATTTATAAGTATATTCTCATATGTACAAGTATATGTTTCATATCCTATAAATATCCTAGACCTAATCCTTATCCTTTCTAAATTCGTTTGTGTTAGGTATTTTTATTACTATTATCGTTTCCCCGTTTTGTTCTTGGCAAAATACCCTAATATCGGGGTGAACGCCACAAAAAAAGAAAAAAAAAAAAAAAAAAAAAAAATTTATATAAATAATATTACAATAACAATCATCATCCAGTTAATCTCATAATTTTGACCATATTTTTGACCATTCAGTATGTATTTCTGAATAGAAATCTTAATATTTACTAATTAATAACATAGTAATTAAAATTAAATCATATTAACAAATATAAATGGTGTTGTTAGGTTAATAGGCCATCCTATTAGTTGTAATTTACATCCATTTTCTTATATCTAAATGATTTTTTATATTACTTACAGAACCAAATTTTAATGATGCCGATGACAGTTGCTGGGATGCTGAAGATAATATTCTGCTGAAAGAAATAAGACCCAATGTTGACACAAGTGAGCAAGAGTTGGACAATGAAAAGGAAAAACCTAAAAAGAAAAGAGGAAGGAAGAAAAAAGGTTTTAAACTTCATATATTCTTTGGTACCAGTAGTGTGATTACATGTTTATGTTCATTAAAAGTCCTAATCAAAATTCCTTAAAACCTCACTCAAATATAGTGGGTGGAAGGGACAGGATGGCCAAAACGACAACAGCTGATTCAGATGAATGATCTAAATCAGATAGTAGATTATTTTCCCATCAAAAATGCACCACAGCCATATAATTCATAAAATAAAATAAATATTTTATTTTATGACATTGACCTCACACGTGATTCCGCGCGTTGCATTACAATTATATATATATAAATAATATATTCCTGTTTTTTGCTATTTCATAGTATTTTACTATAAAATATTATTATTTCTTTATATTTTGACATAATGTTATAGATTAAATGATTTTAAATGAAAAACAAAAACAGAAGAAAATTTTGAGATTTTCCAGAAAGAATTTCCACTACTTATCAGTTCAGAATAATGCTCTGAAACAGTTAGTTTCAGTTTTTACCAATCTGTTCCTTATATCCTGTATATCTATGATTATTTCAGATGCAGACAGTATATCAGATGCTCGTAAACCACATCAATGTGATATCTGTGGAAAATTCCTCAGTACAAAAAGTAATCTTAAAGCCCACAAGATATGCCATACAGACATGAGACCATACAAATGTACAGAGTGCCCTGCTACATTCAGGTTAGACAATTTATGAAATATTATACCATAGTTTATGAACAAACTTAGTGATAAAGACATTAAAGAATATTCTTTAAATTATCTTAAATAAGTGAAAAAATTATTAGCATTTTTAGTGCTTTTCAATTCCTTTTTATTTTTAAATTACCTCAAAGCATTTCTTATATCTTTAAAACTATAATGTAGCTTATTTAAAATAAATGTTTGTTTAATTTATCTAATAAAAATTAATTCCAGGGGGCACAGTGCTTTGTTCCAACACAAAAAGGTGCACAGTGGCGATACTCCATACCACTGTGAGTTCTGCTCTAAAAGATTCAGCCGACGCACAGGGCTTGTCAACCATGTACGAATACATACTGGTAAGGATGCAATTAAAATGAGATGTGCTTTTCTTATACAACTTAGAATGCCAAATTATCTGATGCTGGGCTAGGTGGGTCTGATAGAAAGTGATAACAGTCGCCTTTAGTCATGTACAGAACAGAATATATTGAAAAGAGAGTAACAAAGTATGTATGTATGTAGTAAATTAACTATGTCGCCCATGATACTCGTGTGTTGCTATTCCTGAGAACTAGGATATTATGTCTCTGTATCCTCTAATTTCATAGTTATATCCCACTTTTCAAACCGAAACACAGCCATGCAAACAACTGCTTCATGGCAGAAACACGAATGAGACAGAGGTACTGAAGCAGACGAGTTTTATTATTATTCTATTGATTTGTCAGTATAATTTTTATGATATTTTTATTTAACGAATTTCACGAAATAAATATGTAAATATGTGAATTTTATCTCTATACAGTCACAAGTCTTCTGGTATTAAAAATTTTATTTAAATTTGTCTATATATATATATATACATATCTGTCACGCCTGTCTCCCATTAGGGTAGGCAGAAACAATGGAACGCCAAATGATTCGATTTAAATTTGTAAAAAGCTTATGTATCGAAAGCTGTAAAGCTTATAGATTTTTATTGTTTATGAAATGATTTTTAGAAATATATTCTAATTTATATATCAATAAGAAATATAATAATAATAAAAATATCTATACATTCAGATGGATATAAAACCATAGTTCTCAGGAATAGCAATGCAAGAGGACTCCTACGGGAATCACAGTATACCATATGTTATGATGTCCTGGTGCTGTCCATATCAAAATGTGATTGTTGCTACATTCCATTAGGTTGTTCGCCAGCTTGTTTACCATTTTAAGTATCATAAAAAATATATACAAAATAAAACAAAAATATATTTTTATATCTATTTGCAGGTGAAAAACAATATAGTTGCGATATTTGCTTCAAAAGTTTCATTCAGAGTGCACAACTGTCCATACATATGAAAAGACACAACGGGGATAAACCGTTTCTTTGTCAAGATTGTGGAAAAGGTATGGCTAACTTCTCTCGTATCAATGGCAATCTATAAAATATTACAGAAAATATGTCTCGTCATAAAATCATTATTGTGATACCCTTTAGGAATAGATTAATGAATGATATAATAATAATTATTATTATTATTCTTTATTATCATGTACATAACACATAGATATGATAATAATCAGGAGAATGTGATGGCTTCAGAATTGCTGAAGCACTCTCTCTAAGCTTAAAATTTTAATTAGATAAGTTTCACGAAAGTACTATTTTTATAAATTAACTTTATAATAACTTTGAATTAAATCTAATAAAAATTTCACAATTATCTCTAGCATAGTTATTTTGCTGTGTTATCAAATAAAAAAAAAGTATTTTAGAGAAACAATAGCATCTCTGAATTGACCCCGATGATGATGTTTTCAAGGATGTTAAGAATCACAATGTTTCATTCATATAATCTGCTATAGTAATTATACTAATCCATTAATATTACACTGTCCGTGCAAGACAACTAATAAAATCTGTGAATTATAAAAAATAGATCATATTGCTATTGTAACACCGTATTTTTTTTAATTCTACAATACAATTTTTATTTCTCTAATGGTCAGGTTTTCCAATTAAGGCCGATTTGATGGTACACCAACGCATTCACAATGGTGAGAAGCCATACTCCTGCACCCTCTGCACCAAGACATTTGCTACTTCGGGTAACCTATCCATACATAGGCGAATTCATAATAAGGAAATTAGGTCAGTATATATTTTTAAAACATTAATTTTATGAGTTTTTTTACTTTCTTAAATTAAAATATCAAAGGCCTTAAATACCTATTCTAACTTATACACATTCTTATACTTTTGGTACATAGAATACAGTATTTAGAGCTAGATATAATAAAAATAGTGACATGTAAATTAAACCGGTAATTATTATATTAAAATATAATGTATACTTACGAAACTTTTAAAAATAATAATAGTGAGGTGAAAAATTTGGAATTTGCCGATTTATTATTTTAAATCGAATGATAGTGATAGTAATAGATTTATAAAAAAAAAAAGATATATCCTCTACAGAGAAAAATCAAAACCGTTAACGATATTTAAAACGAATCTACCCGTGTTATAGAAATTATTAGGCCAAAAATTATTGATATTCTGGATGTATGCATGCATGAGCATGGAAAGCCATTGTCTGATTAGTCATGTATGCGATACTATCACAAAAGTAGTAGTATAGGGAGAGACCCGAGCTCAGTATTGAATATTGATTCAATGCTGAGCTCGGGTCTCTGCAATTAAATTATTGATTGATTGCAATCAATAATTTAATTGCATAAACATATCATTACTTTGCACTTGTACAATGCTATGTTTTACCATCGTACATATTACGAAACGTTAAAGAGTTTGATAAGAGTAAAAAACTTTTAAATCCTTAATACAAATATTGCATTTTCGCATTTCAGGTACAATTGTAAAGAATGTAACCGTGGTTTCGTCACATGCAGTGCGTACAGCGTGCACTTAAAACGGCATAAAGGGCAAAGGGACTACTCATGCGAGTGTGGCAAAACATTCTACACTTCATCAGCCCTCAAACAACACAAAATAGTGCACACAGGCGAAAAGAAGTACCAGTGTAAAATATGCGATCGGAAATTCTCTCAATGCAGCCATTTGAGTCGACATTTTAAAAGGGACCATTTGAAAGCGAATGCCCCAGTGCCTTCTTCTGATCATTATAAATTGGTATTAGATAATGGAAGGAGTAAACTGTGGACTGTTGTAGATGATGCCATACAAAAAGTACCACTTCACCATAACCATAATGTAAACATCGAAGAAAAGTTAACACAAACTCATATTTTAAATGAAACAGATAAATGTAACGAGTCCTAGTGATGTGCCATGTATTTTAATTTACGTTTCAATGCTGTATTTTTATTCTACCTCAAAAACAAATGCGGTTTGAAAAATGTATCATATTAGTTCGGTTACCTAATCTATACGTGTTGAGATATCACTAACTCGACAGTTATTAACCTGTAAATTTATCTTTAAAACACTAAGGCCTAACTTATTTTAAGCATAATTTATTATTTGAGTTATACACTATTTTAAACAGTTATAGCCTATTTATAATTACAATTATTTTTTACTTTTTTTTTTTAATAGAAGCTGAAATCAGTAATACAATAGTGTTGTGTTACTCTATTAATAGACTGCAAAGATCTGATTAACGCCAAAAACTGTCATCATGGATTTTATTTTTGAGTATATTTATTTATTTTATACTAGTGACTTGACCCAACTTTGCATGGGTAGATACTTGGTCATTAACTCATAATACCGCTCCAGTGGCGTAATTACGGTCTATTATATGTGTAAGTGGTATCTTCGTCTACTCTGCACATCTTTAATTTTTTATTTATTGATAGGATTTTACTCCCATGTATATCATAATAATATTTAAGAAAATTGTGATCTTTTTGATGAAATATAAATAATTGAGTATTCAGATTTTCTACTACAGGGCAAACATTTAAATATCCTGTAAAATTTGGTTTACACAAATTTAAAACCGGTTGAACTGGGTGAAAAAATAATTATGATTGTAGTATTACCTACAATTTATTATATTCTCTGTGAATCTCTCTTTATATCTTTATCTATAAAGCAATTTATGGAAATGTATTTACTAACTAATTCTGTTAACTTAGTTAATTTATTTATTACCTACTTATAAAAGGCTTTACAAGACTATTAAAGCAACAGTTTTACATTAAGTATATTTAATTGATATTATGCATTAGCTATCATTGAGAAAACAAAATTAATGTTTTTGTTTTTTTGTTTTGTCTCATAACTGAGTACAGAGCTATTAATTTAATTTATATAAAATATGGATTTGAAAAGATCTGTCACAAATTAGATATATATAATGTTTTTATTTTTTTATGAATATATAATTTATTACACTGTGTGATAGGTATATTGTATGTGGTGTTAAATTATTATTTATTAATTTTCTATTTTGTGATAGGGTTAAAATGTACATTAAAGTGTAAATAAATTTGTATACTTATTTAAAATGCCTTTTATTGATGAATGCTAGAAATACTAATTTTAAAATATGTTTAAATGGATATTCTAAATTTTATTAATATTTTTATATACATTACATAATATTTTAGACAATTGTGTTATTTATTGTATTATATATTTATCGATATTGACCTTATACTTTTTAAAATTATTATTTTCATAATAACTGCGAATCTGTATTAACTACAAGAATAGTACGCACAGCCGTTTGTATTCTTCTATATTTATTATACTCTTTACAATTGCCCAACTATAAACATTGTAAGGTGGGAAAGAAAAAATTGACAGTAATGGAGTCGAACAGCTCCATTATTAGTAATATATCTTATCAGGTACACCTCCACGCAGTTATTCTTGAAAACCATTATGATTTTACAAGAGGCTAACTGACTTGTTTTTATCTTTATCCATCATCTTCCACTGCTGCCTCGCTAGCAAATATTGGTAACGTAGCCGGGGTTCGTATTATACTGCAATATAAGTTCTTCAGTTATCTTTACAACGGTGTTTACAAACTCTAAAAGCGAGTTAATATAAAGTCTAGATACTTATAAGTTTACAAGTCACACATACCGCAAAAATATTTTAAGGTCTTAATTCCGTAAATTTAAAGAATAACAAATTATCGAAAACCGCAAAACATAGAATATATATTTACCTCTAGTCTTAGTGTTGTACAACACTAGCGGTGCCACAGATTACTATAAGAAGTTTCGATGTATTTTATTATATCTATGGTCTCCAAGTTGGTGCGTTTAATTCAATTTGTTGATACTTTATTGCAATTTGCAATATTATACAATTTTTAGTATATATATTTTTCATTATAATATTATTTTTTTACATTAAGTCTCATATAATTGTTAGTGTTAAATACATAATTATTTTTTCATCTTTATAAAAAGATAATAACATAGAACACGGCAACTCTGGGGAAAAGAGAAATAAGTAAACTAAACGTAAAACGTTGAGTTGACTGATCTTTATATTACCGTTTATGTTCCAATTATTTTATTTTCTATTAGTTTTCAATACTTTACCTAATGTTTTTGCCGCAAAGGTAGTTTTAGGATGACAATGGAAAGAAGAATCAAATTAAAAACCTTAAACAGTCACATTACTTGCAAGATATGTCGTGGATATTTTATTGACGCTACTACAGTTACGGAATGCCTACATACGTGTTAGTATTTTATAAATAACCAAGATTTATTTTAGTTATCTATTGATGTATTTACAAACGTATAATAATAGCCACCTTTCTATTTTCATGACAAATGTAATATCTGTTTGTAACAAGGGCTTACCAGTAACATTTCTGTCACTGTTATATATTATCTGTTACTTAAGACAATTCTATGTTGTTTAACTTCATTTAAAGTTTAAAGCTACTATTTTTCACAATAGAAAGAGTTGTTATCTCAGTTTGCAATATTTCTGTGTATTTAAGTTTTGAAAAAATATTATAACCTAAAAACTTTCATTTGCAGTTTGCAAAAGTTGCCTGGTGAAACATTTGGAGGAGAACAATACATGTCCAACATGCAACATTGTCATCCACCAATCTCATCCACTGCAATATATCAGCTTCGACCGTACCATGCAAGATATTGTATATAAATTGGTCCCTGACTTACAGGATAGTGAGTGCTTATTTTATTACTGGTTCTTTGCCCGCTACTTTGTGTGTATGGTTTCAGAAGTAGGAAAGCCAATAAAATAGACTACTTCTAGATAATGTATCATGTATCAACAGTAAAAAGAATAAATTGCATTCACAAATAATTTATTACTTTTATATTTGAATTTTCATTTAATAAGTAAGAAATTTACAACTTTAAAATCTACCACTAAAAACTTTGCATCTACTTTATATTTAGCTTTTCTAAAGCAAATTTTAAATACATTTTTACCATTAAAATACAATTTTTCAGTGTCAATAGGAATATTATGGTATGGTTAACACTTTTAGTATGCCACCACAAAACTTTTAAAATAATCAGTCAGAAACATTGAGAAATATTAAATTGTTTTTGAAAATTGATAGAAAAATGAATTAAGAATTTTAAAAAGTTGCAATGTTGCCACACTTTGGTACACTTCAATTATAAAATTAAGGCTCTTAAAAATATCTACTGAAATAATAATTAAATATCTTCTATATTTAATATTTTAATATATTAGTGTCACTAACAGATAGATCTTTATCATGAAATGCTGCCATTGTAATCTCCACACTTAACTCTCTTATGTGGGCTGTTGTACATATGAGTTGTAGCTAATACAGCCAGCCAAGCTCCATCCAGAAGCTTCCTGGTATCTTCACAGGCCTCATGGAGCGACCTCACTGTTCTGAGAATTTGTGAATGTTAAGAGCCCACAGCTACATTTTCTAGGATTACGTCAATAGCCTCGGCTTCAAAACAACCTCAACATAGAGGATTGTCTGTAACCCCAACATCTACTTATTCTTTATTGATCACATTACAAAAAATGTTTCTTACAAAAGGTAGAATTAATGCTATATAGCATTCTCTCCACATCAATCTTTAGCAATACCTATATAAATATATATGTTTTTCAGATATGTATGTATTAAAATATATAGGATATTCTGTCAAATTATTATGATATATATATATATTTTATGTAACTTTGAATGCCAAACAAGCAGATGGCCCATTTGATGGAAAGTGGTAACTGTCGCTTATAGACATGAGCAGTACTGTGGACATAACAGAATATACTGTTTCTATAAAACGAGAATAATATACTCACTGTACCTACCCAATGATTTACATTAATATTTTTTTATATACAACTTAGAATGGCAAACAAGCTGATGGTCCACCTGACATCCACATCATGATGATGTCACATGTCACATTCCACCCAATATGACATCTTTTAATCCTAAAGCAGTATGCAAACCAATAGTGTATGACAAAAATAGAGGCACTTATGCAAATTATTTTGCACATTCTTCCTCTGATACTAAAATGTTACTATTTCAGATGAAATGAAACGCGAGCGTGACTTCTATCGTACGCGGAACCTGCCGTGCCCCAAGGATGCAGCTCTAGCTGCTGACAAGCCTGGGGCTGGAGATGAACCGGAGCAACCTGACAACACTGACTGCCACAGAAAAGATGAACAGGTATGCAGATTTTATCAGACATGTCTCAGTAAATTTTTCCATCCACCTTCTTTAAATACGCCTATGATGATGAATCTTTTTCTAGATATTAAGTTACTGTTTACAATAATATGTGGAGGTAGATTTATAATTCTATTATCTTGATTTTTATCTATGGTCTGTGACATATGGTTTCACTGAGGACACTTCTAAAATAATTTATTTTTGAAATTTTAAAAATAATTTAGAGGTTATTATTTCAGAATTAGTAATAAAAAATACATCCAAGTTGAGATTATGAAGCAAACAATTTTTTTTTATCCTTAGTATTTTTTTCAGTAGTCTTTCACATACACCCACATCAGTCTGTAGTTTGCAAATAATTTTATTTTAGTGCCCTCTAATTTAAGTCTAAACTAAACTTGTCCTATGGGCGACAACGGGTTATAAACTTGTTGGAAATACATACAAAATAATGCGAAGACACTTTAATAATACCATAAATATTAAACAAAACTTTTGTGTTCAGGTCAACGTGTGCTTGGAGTGTATATCAACGTCCCTGCGTACATTGAAGCGTAGCTTTATCAGGTGTTCGTCGCAGGCCACCATTACACACCTCAAAAAATTTGTAGCCAAGAAAGTATTAACGGGAATGGAGAAGTATAGAGAAGTAAGTAATTTATTAAAAATAACTAATTTAAGAAATTCGTTCCTATCCCACTAATGATTCAATTTGGAAATAAAAAATTTTATTTTGAATTTCGAACAAAAATAGGTAATTTGATTAATAAAAAGCATAGTTGTATTTTAATTTACATCATGTTTTTTTTTTCAGATTGACATATTATGCAATGATGAATTATTAGGCAAGGACCACACATTAAAGTTTGTATATGTAACACGATGGAGATTCAGAGACCCGCCCCTACGATTGCAGTATAGACCTAAAATTGATCTATAAATAGTATTTTTTTAAATGGTAGCAACATGTTTTTATATATGCCTGAATATAGTTAATACCTATATATTTAATACAATGTCTATACTATACTAAATGAGGATTGACTATTACATATGAAGATACCAAATTAAGGATACAGGCAAAGAACAAGGAATGTCGTAATTTTTGCTTTTCTCCCTCTTATTTTATTTGATTTCTAAAATTAAAAAGTCTGATTTTAGCAAAAATATTTAATAATTATTAAAAAATAAAAATAGAAAAGCGTATATGAAAAAACTCATTATTACTTCTAAGTAAAAAGTGAATTTTGACCTGAATAATATGACTACCTAACTTCTAAATTGCGTTTTTTTTTTATAATTGATACATTAGGCCATTCCCTGTTCTTTGCTTGTATACTTCAAATGGAAAATTCCTTAGGTTTGCCTGTTTTGAAGGCTTTATTCAATTTTATACTTGAAAACGAAAGTGATAAGGTTCATTATGCAATAATGTCAATAAATGCAAGGATTTTCCATGAGTTCATCTCATGTATGTGTGTTAATATAGCTACAAAATATGATCTTGTATGAGGTCATTGAGTACATCGTAGAAAGAGAATGCTACAGGGACTAACCTTAATCTAAGAGGTACATACATATTTGGGCATGTACTAACATTGTCTGTTTATGTGCAGCAATGTTGGCTTTTGGTGGAATTTGAAATATATAATTGATATCTATAATTATATGTGTAAGTGAGAACACTACTAAAAGTGTTTTCATTTATAAAGATGGTTATATAATTTTTTTTTACCTAATAAAATTATTGGGGTCCATTTTGAGATGCATTGCTCCAAGTCTATCTCTTAGTCTAATATTTTAATTTGATAGTTTAGCAATATTAATGTTTTATGGACTATCACAAAATAAATTTATAATAATATTGACTTAAATCTATTAGAAAATTATTTCATATTGGTCCATCCAATAATTATTTTGCTGTGATATCAAATTTAAACTTTAATTTTAGAGATAGGTTTAAAGAAATGATCCCTCTGAATTGTTAAACCATCATTTTCCACCAATAGCTTTTAGGATAACTTTCTCAATGTAAACATTTGAATACATCAATTTCTTATTATTGTAAATTTAAATGATCAGTCAACTTTTTACTTATTTGTGGGTGATCTTCTACTTTAATCCATAATTCCTCGACACATTCTTTCCGGGAACGCTCAGATTGTAGAATATTTTTTCTCTAAATAGAGTTTCAAAGGTCTTAAAAAGTTTTTTCATAATCAGCAATGTGCATATGACACCACCAGTATTACTGGCATATATAGATACCATGGTATAGTTATGGTAACTATTAGAGAGATGCTCTGGAGCGTTCTTTGTAATCTGTGGAGGATGAGGGTATAAAGTAGATAAGTTTAATTTTATAGTCTATTGTTATGTTCAAACATTATGGGTTCAGTGGTCATATTACGATGATAATAATTTCGAAACAAACTGGAAGTTTTCTGATTAAGAAAATGCAGTGTTTTTAATTATTTTTGTTAAGAAGAAAAAAATATACTTCAGTTTTAATAAAGTAGTATGGGATCAAAAAAAAAATTCTTTTAATAATAATGGTTATTAATTCACATATACATTCAATAAACATAAATCAGTTACAATTGTAGTAATATAATCGCTGCAAAAATAAATATGGTCCATCTAAGAGTTTTCCCAAGAGGTTCTTCAAAAGGGGGGTAAAGAGGTTTCTTCAGGGTCGGCAACACACGCGTAATACCTTTGGTATTGCAGGTGTTCATAGGCTACGGTAACCACTTACCATCAGGTGAACCGTATGCTTGTTTGCCACCTGCCAGTGGTATAAAAAAAAATCTAAGAACATCGTGACCTGGGAGGACACAGTGGAATTGAAAGAATTTTGTATTGGTCCCATACTAATTTCCTATAAAAGTAGTGAGGGCTCATTGTATCTTGTGACTGTGACTTTGTGTTTTTATCCAATAATAATTTTCTATTCTATTCAAATATTAAATTGGTCACCACCTTTATAGAATCTAATTTAAAATAATTTTATTTTTTATATTATTGCCATAATTATTTATGATTATTGAATCCTGTTAATTTTGGTTTTATTTTCAATAAATAAGTTCTTTTAATTTTCATGTAGCAATGAAGACTTGTATGTGTATTATAGAAATTGGCGTGTTAACACCTTTTATTATTTCTTCATTTTATTACTTTTGTTATTTTTTTTGTTAAACAAAAGTTTTTGTTACCGTTTCATAGGTTTTTTTTTAATTATAGCTACCTAAATTAGAATAATTTGATGTATGGAATTTACAATTTTAATTATTGTATTAGTTAATATAGTTCAATTATAGTTGTATTGTTTATGAATACCTATGTAAGTGGAGATTTATTTAATAGATATGAATTACGATCTAATTTAAATATATTATTTGAACACGTCATTCTAATTTTTTATTACTGCATCTGCAGTCATTACAATCTCTCAGTCCTTTTAACACAATTGACACTGGAAGATATATACTACAAAAATAGATAGAATATAATACAGCTATACTAGCGCTTTTATATACAATTTAAAAGTAATAGAAACAAACAATCTCTCTCTGCAAGTGCTACTTATCCATTCATGCATCAATATATTTGTTATGCCTGCAGTTAACTATATTGTTATTGTTTATTTAAATTGATACTTAATAATGATACTCGAATAGTAATCAATATTCATTTTCATAACTTTGTTAATGGTTTTAAGAATTGAGTATCATAAAAACGATTATAATCGCATTTATGTTGTCATTCGATTTGTTCTATTTTTTATAACAGTCGCTTATCCTTTTTTTTTTTGTGGCGAATATTATTTATCGACTTAGGTACTCACACTTAGCCGAGCAATGTTAGAATTGAACATATCTAGTCGATTAGTATAATCGACACATACAAATAACTTACAACGCTAAAATTACAGGCATATAATTGTCAGGGTTTGAAATGTATTAACCGATATTTTCCGACAATCTTCTAAATTGGTTCTCTCTAGTCTTTGTGCGTTACCTCTCTATCTACGCTTGCAGAATTTGACATTGACAGTTGTATATATGAAAAAAGCTGAAAATGGACGACCGCTAGATTCCCGTTTGGCACGTGAAGTTATTTTTTTATTTATCTATTTAAATTAAACAAACTACCGTCAAACTGGGTGCCAAAACGGTTGAAAGATTCCTAAGCCTCGCGGACGACAATTTCGTCGACGATGTCAACGACGACCTGAAATGTTTTGTGGCGGAACGAAATGTTGACAGGTAAACAACTTTAAACATTCTTACTCGTAATATCTGTGATTATGGGTTATTTTGCGTTTATAATTTATAGTAAACTTCTTTATACGCCAGTATTCAAAAGCGTTCCGATTGTGCCGTTTGCATTCAAGGTTATGAGTCAAAGGGGGCACCTGTGAAGTACATAATTGTGACCAATCAAGGATATTTTTATATTCATTCAAGGTCCTTAAAATACTAACGGCACTTAGCGACCGCAGCGCGACTGCTCTAAAACAATTTAACTACACACACCTTTTCCTGTTTTATTTTTGTTTGTTATGTATATTATACGTTTAAATAAAGAAATAAACAAAATACATTATTATTTTGTACCACGGCATTATTTTACTCTGTATAAATTTTTTCTCTAGAAAAATAATTTTAATACCTATAATTATTTAAGTCATAAATTAAAATATTGCTTGAATAGTAAGGTAATTGTCAAAAAGATTATTTCTTCTTAACAAATAACTATATGATTTCTTTTAGAATAAGAATAATATATTAATAATATTGTATTAATGATGACTTTGTTACAAATTTATTTCTATATCAAATATTTAATTTTTAAATATATCAAATTATTGTCAGTTTTAATTTCTGGATAATTTAAATGAAAACTATATTAGCTCAGTTTCATTTTATTTAATGTATTAAAATTTTATGACATAATCTCTTAAAGTTACTAATTTTTATGCAATGATTGGAAAACACACAATTACAACAATAGCTATAATGGATAATAAAAATTATGTTATATATTGCCAATAGAAATAACAATAGCTAGGTAATAAATGGCTAGCCATAAATAAAAGAAAAAGTTTGAATAAAATTTTATATCAAATTAACAGTAGCTCTTATGTAAGGTGAAATGTGTTTAATTAATTTATTTATAGGATCACCAACATAAGATACAGCAAAATATTTCACTACAATACACTAGTTGTTTAGGTCTAACTGTTTTTACATTTAGAGGCAACCATAGCATGCTTTGTTTGTGGAACATTACTGAAACTTATGAGATGTAATAAAATAATTACTTTAAATGTTATAATGTTACAAATGTAAAATAATAATATCCTTCTAAGGGTGTGTCTGAGTAGATGTTGATCATTATCCCATATAATTTATGTACATATGTTGTATATCTAATATATTAATTTATGTGTATATATTTACTAATGTAAAATTGATATATATTTTTTCTTGCATTAAACTCCTCTTAAATACCTCATGAGGAGGCCTATGTTCAGCAGTGGACAGTTAGTGTACAATGTGATATGATGATGAAGTATCTTTGCTTATTTATAATGGTTGTCTGGCAGTGAATGCTTATAGTATTAAGTTCACTTCTTGTGCTACATTTTATTGGTTAATAAAGTTTAAATAAATATTTTTTAATTTAACTTAATTGCTGTATGCACCATATATGGGAGGATGAAATTCTTTTTGCTGGATCACTGACTCGTGTTTTTTAGAGAAAATTGTTCATTTGCTCTAATAAAATATTCTCTTAAAAGGATTTTAATTTTTAGATAGGCATGTGTTTACTGACCAAGATAAAAAATAGTCTATATCCTTCTCTTCCATATAGTATGTGAATACCAAATTTCATAGTGATTGGTTAAACCATTAAGGAGCTCTAAAAATTATGTATTAATGAATCCATATTTCCACACCATTAATTAATATATAAAGTATCCTATGTTATTATTATTATAATTTCAGCCCTTAACTGACCACTGCTGGACATAAGCCTTCCCCATAAGGGGAGTTTTGCCAGTGGTTGCCACGCTTGACAGGCAGTTTGGCAACAGCATTTAGGCTTTTAGAGAAGTTTTAAGAGGGATGCCAGTGTCCATTCTTTGCCCTCTCTTAGTCACCTCTTACGACATCCATGGGAAAGGAAAGGGTGACCCATTCTATGCTGGGGCATACACGGCAATCCTATGTGTTACTATATAATTTATCTGTGTTTCATTCAAATCCATTCAGCTATTTAAGTGTGATTGAGTAACAAATAAACATGTTTACAAAGTTTAACATTTATAATATTAGTAGAATTTATAACATTTAAAAATGATATAAAAAAATATATTTTACAATTCTTTTTTAGATTTAATGAATTTTGTAAACGTCAAACTTCAATTATATTTATTTTGTTCAGTGTGCTGGTGTTTCCACCAGTGAGTAACTACCGGAGGTTCCTTATCCACCGGTGCGTCGAGGAGCTCGCTCGTCCAGATCTCGCCACCTTCTCCATTGGGTTCAGCGACGAGCGACGGACCGTTGTCTGCTACCGTGACAGGCTACTGAGGTTACTATTAATATATTGTTTACCTTTCTATGCGCGATTTTCAGAAGTATGAAAACTGCTGAATAGGTCACTTCTAAATGACGTATCAAAATAAACACGTTTTTAAGTTAGACCTTCAGGGACACAATGGTGAAAACCGCATTCAACTTGGTGCAGTGTTTTTAGCGTGATGTCGGTATAAACAAACAGGCCGATAAGATTTCTAAAAATAGTTATTTTGGCTCGTATTGCTCTTATAGAAGCATTTTTTTTCGTCCATATTCAGATGTCCAGTTACATTTTTTATATATTAGTAAGTTAATATCGTATACAATAAAAAAATTAAGAAAACACGAACACACAACAAAATTATGTATAAAGATTTCTTTTGCTACTAAACCCTATAAAAAAAAAAAAAAAAACACCGCCGCCATTTGTATATTGCAGATCCTCATAAATTGAAATGTGTAATGACTATTGCGTTTTGCTATAATAATTTTAAGTCTGGTTGCATGTTGTCTGTCTGTTGTGATGCAAATTGTAACTAGGACGTTTACTCAAGTCTCTCTTAGCGACCGGTGTACAATCGCACATTGCGGATCAAGGACGAATATCGAGAGGTAGACGGGTCCAGTGTTACCAGATCGCACTTTATCACTTTACAAGTTGTGTTTCACTCGATCTTATGTGGTCATTGTGAGTTGCATTTTGTAATTATTCTATCGAAGAGTTATCGATTTATTCACAACGTTCTTTATTTATGCAAAAGTATGTGCATCTAGTGCCTTTAAATTGTCTATGTTAAATATTCATTGTCTATGTCTATGTTTAAAGAAATTTATTGTACACAGACAATGTTTTACAGTAATCGTGAACAGATTTAATTAACTTTTTTAGTGCGTATTAATGTTAGAATGTAGTTCTCTTTTTGGAAGATCAACAACAAACTACAGACTTCTGTATTTCTTTTAAATAAAGGGCGTTAGTGTATTTTAGATTAGGCTCGCCTGGCTCCAAGAAGGCACAATTATATGTTCTTAAAGATATTTTTACGGTATGCCGAGAGCTCTCCTTATATACTGGGTTGAGCCAGGCCTTTCCATTTACAAACTCTTATGCTACGGGGTAATTTAAATTTCTTTATGACCATTGCGATAGCTCGTTCATATTGTTAATAGAAGGAAGCTAAGGAGTCAATGCTTAACGTGTGGTATCAACATAGACAGAGCCACCCCTTCCTTTCCCGTGGGTGTCGGAAGAGGTGACTAAGGGAACTAAATAGTCGAGGGATAAGCAAAAGTTTTCCTTTTAAACATCACCAAAGCGTATCTGCGGTTGCCGATCCGCCTGACAATCGTGGCAACTATTGTTTTTTTTTTATCTGAAAGGTACTTGGATTCTACAAAAATATCATCAAAATCGGTTTAGTAGTTTAGTTTTTAAATCAAATTGGTTTTGTTTCGATTGAAGCTGTGTATTTTTTTATTTGTTGAACTAATTTTTTTTTTCATAAAGTGTTTAATAGTCCGGTTAAGGTCGGTCAGTTAGTGACATTCAGTATTTAACATTTAATTTAAAAAGTTAAAGTTCTTCAGGTCAAATATGTCGTAGTAATTGTAGAGGTCGGACACGTGACCTCTGAGTAAAATGTCCGCACTGCAGTTCCTTCCGTCTATGACGTTTTGTAAAAGCAAGTTTTGTTAGAATGCATAAGTGTAATGTATGTGTTTGCAATGCGTATGCAAATGTAAATTATAAATGGGATATATCCCAGTCCAAAGCGAAGTATTTAAGTGACTTCTCCTTAGAAGTCACTTGAAGAAATATTTTTGTTCAAATAAACTTAGATTTAAGTATTAAATATTAATAGTAATTTTTTTCATTACCCCCCCAAAAAGAAGTATTTTCTCATTTCATTTGATTTTTTTTTTATGTTTTATGTGTTCTTTTTGTAATCAATAGGGATTATACTTCTGTTCCTGTTGGTCTCATATTAATTTTATTATGGTTGACTTTTTTTTTTTAAATGGATCATAATGGAATAGTAGCCCCGCGCTATCTGTGTACATATATTGGCCAGGTCAGTTAGCCAATCGTGATGAATTCAATAATTAATTAATTACTATGCTTTCCAGGGTGTATTGCTAACAATGGGGTTGCTAATCCCCTTTACTAACAATCCCTTTTCCCCCCTATGATTGACGTTACGACGATTGTTAGCTTGTTTACAATAAAAAAAATGTATGAGAGTGTGTGTGTCTGCGATTGGAGTCACTTCGTTTGAAGAACAAAATGTACTTGCTTAATATAATACCATCGTTTTTCAATAATATTGTATTCAGTGTTTTTGTTCCAAATAAAGAATTATTTAAAAAAAAAATACCCCTCATATACTAAAATTTTAAATTACTTTTCAACGGTAGTTTAAAAAGCTTATCCTCTTCTTCAAACATCTTCTAGTTATACGACCATGCTGAATTGCTGACATAACCAGCTTCAGTCCAATTTATACAATGATGAATTCTTAGTATTTTCCATATTTTCAGTGATGAGGCTTGCGCCCGACCAGCCATGGGACTGACACACATGGACCGCGGCGATGAGGCCATATCACGTTCCGGTAAGTTTGCAAATTTTACCTTAAACCAGGGGTCCCAAATTTATTATGTCTGCTGCCTATTTTGAGAGTAAATTCTTTTTTACCGCCCCCATTTTTTTACCTACTTAAAAACCACTATTACTTCAAATTGCAAATCACTCCCAAGCCTCTACACAACGTCCTCATTTTTTCTGGTTCTCTTACCCTTTAGGCCTGCAGCGCCCACAAGGGGGCGTTATCGTCCACTTTGTGAAAGACTGCCTTAAACGTATTGTATATAGCAGGGGTGGCCAACCGGTGGATCGCTACTATCAGTCCAGTCGATCGTGGCAAGGCAATAAAATATGCTCACACTAATATAATATAAATAACTAGTTACTAAGAATAATTTTCAGTTTTCTATTTTCAAAATAAAAAAAAAATACTAGGTACATTACTACATAGTCGTGTACTGAACTGTGTTGTTTCATTTGTGATTTCAAGAAGTATGTAATCGATAGATCGCACAGGGTTTTGTCAGTAAACAGTAGATCTTGGGTCTAGACAAGTCGGCCACCTCTGGTATATAGAATATTTATTGTTGTGACTACTCCACAATCATTGAACACACTAGAGTCCTATATGTAACCTTACTACTTTACAATAAGCTCGTAAATTGGTTAAATTCATGTTTCCCAGAGCATTTTTTTAAATTCCATTAACAATATTTATACATGATATACTGAACATAAACCTCCCCTTTGGGGGGTTTTGCCAGTAATTTGACACGTTTAGTGGCAATTACTGGCAAAACCCCCGTCTAAAGTCTAACATGGTAGCCGCAGTTAGTTAGAGATGTTTGAAGAGAAATGCTGTCCATCCTTCGCTCTCCCTTAGTCACCCCTTACGACACCCATGGGAAAAGAATGGTTGGCTATGCCGAGAGCACACGGCCATACCACGTATGGTCATACAAGTCTATAAATACTTGACCCCATACACACATCGACCCACTATCGCACTAACGCAGCATACCTAATTGCCTCTCGTTAGCATACAGAAAAAAAAACACAAAACAATTCGCTTCCCTCAATACAGCGGTTAGGCAACGCTTGGTAACATTGTTCGCTCATTCTATGTCATAATCCGTGGAACAAACATCGATTAGTCATGTATTCATAACAGCTATTTTATTTACTTAACGATCTAACATAAGATTTTAAGATATTGTTCCAAAAAACTCATCATCATATATCAGCCTTTAACTGTCCACTGCTGAACATACCCTTCTCTTGATGGGGGGGAGGGGGAGGGGGGCTAGTAATTGCTACGCTTGGCAGGCGGATTGGCAACTGCAGTTTTTTTTTATGAGTGAAAATGGTATGGTAGCCGCGCCTGCGCTAACGGGATACGCTGGCGGGGCACCAGTGAAGGGTGATAGATGAGAATGAAAACAGGCCAGTTAGCCCATCATGATGAATTCACAATTGCCAGGGGGGAAAGGGATTGTTAGTAATGGAGACTAAAAATCCCATTGCTAGCAATATACCCAACCAGGTCGACCTCCCCGCGGCTCCCCCTGGAAACTATCATGGTTAATTCCTGATGAATTCATCATGATGGGCTAACTGGCCTGTTTTCATTCTCATCGATCACTCTTCACTGGTGCTCCGCCAGCGTATCCCGTTAGCGCAGGCGGGGTTACCATTCCATTTTCATCCATCAAAAAAAAAAACGGGTCCCCGTGGGCGAAATTGCGATATATTTTGTATTTATATCATCACACACGCACACACACATACGCACACACACACACGCACACACATGCAATAGAAATTACAGAATTGTATGACACTCATAATGTCAATCATGAGACTAATCTAAGAATAGTGAATGAGGCTTTATTTATTCAGCAACGTCGAGTAATAACGGTAATTTGTCAAGTTTATTATTTGGCTTTACCATAGACACGACTAGGGTTGCCAACCCTCCCTGATAGCCAGGAGACTCCAGTAATAATGGTTAACCTTCCGACCTCTAGAAGTGCAATTTCTCCGGTTTTTTTTTATTTAATAAATGCTTCCGTACCTCACACGTCGCTACTTACTCGTTTTGCGGTCTCTAATGCTTCATGCGAGCGCGTATCCAGCATAATGGAGCAAGTATAGAGCAAAGAAAGAAACCGAATTAGTATTTATTTAGTAAAAGCAGAGTTACAAGTACTAACAAATTTGGATTTTTTATGTAAAAACTTTTATATATTTATATATGATTTTGTAGTGAAACACCAACAAATATTAGATGCTGCTCGAAAACAAAATAAATATAAATTAAAAAATTAATTTATGATTTACTTTTAATACCCCCCCCCCCCTCTCTCTATAAAATTTTCCCATGTTAGTCCTTTCGAGAATTGACAACCCTAACGCACACACAAATAGTACAAGTCGTCAACTTGTTAGATGAAATCTCACAAGTACAGATTAGATTTACCTGTCGTTACGTTACATCAGTTATTATACTTTATTATTTGATTATAAATTGCTCACTTCACTTACAGTTATTCAAAACGTGTGTTCATAGGTTCATTTTACAAACGTAAAAAATTTAAACAACATTTAGAAAATTTATCTAATTTAAAAATATCAATATCTGGCTGCTGAGCAATCGGAGAATTGAAAAAAGAAATAGCATAAATAATATTATAAGTAAATAATAAGTCTACATGACTTAGGATTCCAATATGCTCTCTCTCTCTCTTCGTCCTCTTCATTGCTGAAGGTCGTGTCCTTGAAAGGTGTAAGCTGCCTCTCTTATGATGTTATTCCGTTTTGCACGGCCTTCAGCCTCTCGCAGGGCAGCTGTAATTGACAGTCCCGTAACGGCGGTCACTTGGTCCGACCATTGATTAGGCGATCGTCGGCGTGGTCTTTTTCCCTCTATCCCTCCAATATGCTATTACTATCCTATTCTGTTATTATTTATAAATGCCAAAGTTTGTAAGGATGAGTGGATGGTTTATTATTGTTTATATGTTTATTCTTTAGTTACTTTATTTTATTTACTACTTACTTTATTTATTATTTTTAAGTATTTACAAGGCGGACTTAATGGTTAAAGCATTCTCTCCTAGTCAACAACCTTAGCAGTGTAACGTTCTGACATAGAATAAGGCCACCCTTTCCTTTTCCGTGTGTGTCGTAAGAGGCGACTAAGGCAGCTTAAAGTGGAGGAATGTGCAGCAGCGTCTGTCTTAAAATACCATCAAAAGCTAAACTGCGCTTGCTAACCCGTCTGCCAAACGTGGCATCTACTGGTAAAAGCCCTCTTATGAGGGAAGCTATGTTCAGCAGTGAATAGTGAACGGCTGATACAATAACGACCTAAGGGATGTTTTTTTTTTGATGGGTGAAAATGGTATGGTAACCCCGCCTGCGCTAACGGGATACGCTGGCGGAGCACCAGTGAAAGGTGACAGATGAGAATGAAAACAGGCCAGTTAGCCCATCATGATGAATTCATCAGGAATTAACCATGATAGTTTCCAGGGGGAACCGCGAGGAGGTCGACCTGATTCTTAGAGATGTTTGTTACTCTTTCACGTAAAAACTACTAAACAAATTTGAATCTAATTTCGTACACAGGTACTTTATATACTAAATCACGCGGACAAATTCCCGGCAAAACAGCTAGTATTTGTATCAATGCTCTAATTAATATATACTAAACGCATCGTTTTTCTTGGGACCGGCTCGACTAATTTGGCAAAAATTTTTAAACGTCCTCCGATTCATGTCTAGATTTTCACCTACTAGGTTCTCCATTTTATTTGTATTTTTTTAATTATGTTATTTGATTACGTCTCCAAATTCTGAATCGATTTGAACTATTCATTCTGTAATCAACAATGTAGTAAAAATTACCGTTTTTCCCCCATTTTAACCCTCTGGCCGCCTATTTTTTTTTAACAACAATAAAACACGTCGCTTTGACAATAAATAGCAGTACGAATATTTAGCCATCTAGCAAGGTTCTGAGAAACAATAGCAACCTACCAAAACAAAAATCGCGGGATAACAACGTCAATAAACATAAAAAATGCGAGCACGTCAAAATCGCGGGATACGTAAAATTAAACTAGTAGATACTGCACGCGGAAATCGCAGGATGCCCGGTCAGAGGGTTCATTTAGCAGCGATTATAGGTGTTTTTTTTGCTGACCAAAAATTTACTTGTTGCAAAGGAAAATTGCAAATACGGTTCCGTGTTCCCTAAATATTTATATTTAGACTTCATTTTTTTTTTTAATTAAATTTTAACGCGTGTAACAGTTGTTTTATTTTTAACTTTTAATTTTTACAAATAGTTTATGTCCAATTTGGCATTATGCCTGTGTATGTTTATTTTGATTACGTGTATTTGGCATTACAGATATATTGGCATTCAAAGTATTTCTAATTTGCTCTAAATCTGTAAGCGTATTTGCTAAAATGTTTAACACAATTTTACGTTATATTGTATGTTACGAAGTTTCGAGGTCAAGTCGTCACGAAGTGTCATTGGATCATCACACACATTGGAATAATCATTCCCACTTTGTGACCGGTTTTCAACTAGTATGTGAATAGACACGCGATACTGCAGTTTAATGTTTTACAAGGTTATAAATATCTAGATTTCTATTAATCTATACTTAAAAATAGCCGTGTATGCCCCGGCATACAATGGGCCGCCCCTACCTTTCCCGTGGGTGTCGTAACTAAGGGAGGGCGAGGGATGGGCAGTAGCGTCCCTCTTAATACATCTCTAAAAGCCTAATTGCGGTTGCCAACTCGCCTGCCAAGCGTGGCAACTACTGGCAAAATTCGTATGAGGAAGGCTTTTGTCCAGCAGTGGACAGTTAACGGCTGAAATAATAATAATACTTATAAAATCGTTTGTCTTGACTAACTATTAATACACATCCAAAACTAACAGAAATTTGGAACCTAAATTTGATTTATAACGTAAGCATTCGCTAAGAAAGTATTATTGAAAATTTC